ACGCTTCGGGCGATCTTCAGCGGATAACCTCGCGACGTCGGGTCTTGCTATCGGCAGCGAAAATTTTCCAGGAAAGACGATTCCCCAGAATTTTCGGAAACAACTCCCAGAGGAATGAAGATCGCAGATCTAAGTATCATATGAGGATTTCGGAGGAGGAACTCACCGGTTCTGGACGGGGACTCCGCCAGCGATTTCCTTCTGAATTCGTATCCAAAATATTCACTTCCAAATAGATTGTTGAGCACCACTGCAGGAAGTTGGATTGTGAGAGGTCGCGGAAATTTTCTCGATATGAGTTCTCTGACGATTTTTTTGTTCCTATGTTCCAAACCCGGAATACTTTCGAGATCGAGGCACGACTCGGTCAAAACTCGAATAACGCTGTCATCCAGATGCGAAATTTTCGGTTTCTCCGGAGGAAGGACAGGATCCCAAAGCCTACCGGCACTCCATCCCGTCAGGGAGCTCTTCCGAAGACAGAAAATTGTGAGCCGAAGAACGCATATTTGAAAAGGGTTCACCGTACGTTCGCGGAACGATTACGGGCTGACAGGTGGTTTTCTGCGCGTACGCGCACAAACATCGGGCAGAACGGTCTTTCCGAACACACACCGATTCGTCAGAATAAGAAAATCGTTGAGAGTCGGTTTACGCGCACTGCTCACAAGGCAGCGCCGACTGGGCACCAGACAGTACTGGAGAAGCATTGACGAGACGCGATACTATCTTCGGGGTTCACCATCTCAGACACATCATCATGCTTCGTATCCGACAACAAAGATCCGAGCACCAATCCAAAGTAAAATGACCGAGGACAGCGCTGCCCTAATCGTGAGTTTCTCGCCACGCAACGGTCATCGAGCGCTTATCGCTAAGGGATAATGCGGTCGAAGGAACAGAAATTGGAATTCGAACTAGGAACTACAGCTCGGAAAATATCCGGGGTGATCGGAAATTCATAAATTGCGTGAATCACAGATTTGTTCATCGGGGCACATACTGCGCGAGCACAACCTTTTAGGAGCTAGAGCAATCGTCGGAACGCACTGCTTTATCAGCGTTTTCACTTGAAACTGCGCGCGGAATCGCTCAGTCCGCTGCTCAATCGACGAAGTGAGTCTGACCACCGCGCCTTCTGTTCGTGGACCCTTTCTTCGGTCCCCTCTCCCCGGCTGTCGGTGCGATTCGCTATGTTTTCCTAGACACTGATTTCGCCTCCTCTCTATTTTCGGAGCCGTTTTCCTGCCCCTGGGCTTGACTCTGGCTTGTTTGGTGGCGTTCCTGAGGCCCTCGACGAAAATTTCGTTTCTGAAGCCGTTCAGATCTTCAACGAAGCCTCGATGATATGATTTCCGTCGGAATCGCTCTCGGACGAGTCTAGGCAGCCGCCCGCACCGAGGCGCTCTCCTGCCGTAATTTTCCGCAGCATGTCATAAAGGTGAAACGATGGCAATGTATTAGAGCTCTTCCCAGACCTTTGAGATTCGTACGCCGAAACTCGCGCTCAGTCGAGTTCACAGATCGGTTCGAGGCTCGAGTACTCTGCCGTCCGGCATCCACCTGAAGACTGGAAAGACCCTCAGCTCCTGCAGGATCCCAGCAGTCTCCACGCAGGAAGCATCCGGTCGATCAGTGAGTCGAGCCAGCGAGCACATGCACGAGTCAGCGCCGATGCAAATCTGCGCCTCAAGTGCGGGGAGATTGGAAGCCCGAGCACTCCGCCGGTCGATGTTAACTCTAACTAAGATGAGATGGGATCGCGCAACTAGGCTCTGTCCTGTTACATTTGATTCCAAACAACAGTGGCTCATTCTATCGTTGATCGGAATACCGGTCTTAAGCTACTGCTCAATCGCCTCTCTCAGTCCCATGGACCGCTGCGAAGGCTGTCCGGCGTTCCGCCCCAATTCAATGTCGGCATCTTACACGCCGTCACGGTAAACGAGAAACCCACGCTCGGTATAATTGCCAGAGTTCTCCGAGGGCGCTCGACATACCATGGCGCCGGCGTCCACTCCACTTACATCACAAACATGCATCGACTCAGGCTGTTTGTCATTTCTCTGATAATTTCGGCTGAAGTCGTTGTGGAGTGTTCGCCTGCGATTCGCATCCCGTCTGTTTGTTTATCGCTACGAAGGCGGTTCGCTGAAAAGACGTTGCTCCGGATTCCCCTCGAGAAATGCCCTTCGATGATCCGTCGGATATTTTTCGAGTACCGGCACGGGTTGTCCCTTGACATTGATCGGGACAGCATACTCTAGCATCTGTCTGGAGAGAGGGAACCACGAAATATCTGGCGGAGACGGATGCTTGTCCCCCGCGGAAATCATGAAGCTACCTGATTTGACAGAGCGACGTTCCGCGGAGGACGACGTCGATGCGGTCAGAAAATCCACACGTTATGAGCACCCCTCTCTGATCGGTGAGCTGATCGTAGATCGGCACTCCGAATCTCTCGGGACTATGGGTCCCATTCTGAGAGGCGTTCATCTTCCCTGGAGAGAATCACTCAAGTTCCGTATCCCTCATTCCCTCCAAGGGAGTAGATAAGGAGTGGGGAGGTTCTCATTCAAACGCTGCGACCCAATCCAAAGCAAAATTGATACGCGCGTGTGACATCACATGAAATCTCAAGAGCCCGTGATCATCGGAGGCACAAACGATGCGGGAGACTGACGACGCGACGCAAGGTTTCTGCCGTTATGAAAGATACATTTGGATCGCCCTGTGATAATAGGCTGATATAAGGACCCTATTGACGGCCCTTTCACTGCGGAAGATCACGAGACGCTCCGCTGCACGAGCTGTGCCAGAACGAAAAATTCGTTCAAAAGCCTCTGCAGAATAGCACGCAGTAGACGCAATGTCACGGAGTGACTTCGATTGCCTCGCAACTCAAGCTCAAAGTTACAGGCTTGTTGCCGAAATCTCATCATCCGACGTATATCATTCACATTCATCTAATTTCGGAGTTTTCCGATGAAGTCTTGAACTCTCTTGGGCACGTTCTACGAGAAGGGGCAGCAGCTCACGTTTCTGTCTCGATTGTGGAGCTTGTTCCAACAACGATCAGTCGAAGTCGGACAAGTGAACTGTCAGATGCCTCCGCTCACTGAACCAAATCTGTACACAATCCGCTATTATTAGTTCCTGTACGAAACTCACTGAAGAGGAAACTCTTCCACGACTGACTGAGAGGCTCCAGTCGGGGCCGCCAACGTGAAAATCTTCGAACCTTCCCCTCGACTTCTCTATTTCTAATAGAATATTTTTCTTCCGGTCTCTTCAATTAACAAACACGTCCGCAGATACAATAGACGATCCATGTCCTTCCATGATCATCCCATAGGGCTCGTGTCAACAACATTAACCAAGGGGCTCATTCGTGGTCCTGGGGAGCACCGAGAACAATGCGCTTGTTCGTTCCGTGTACAGGGATCCCGATCTAACGGATCAGCTCCTATCGACGTGTAAAATCGACAGTAATTTCTGAATACAGCAATAAATCAAACGTATGATTCTTCCAAGATATCGATACGCCACGGATGACCGAAGAATTTCATCGATACATAGGCTCTTGAACTGCAGCATCTGAGGGATCCTCACTCCTGAGAGGGCTCCGCCACGCCGATGGGAAGGCTAGAATCTGTCCTTACACTCGACTGATGGATAGAGTCATCCAGTATCGGGATGAAGGAGGAGCCAGGCATGAAAAGGCGTTTGCTTCTGTGAATTGCAGCTTCTTAGATCGCTGTCAAGATGCTTCAGAAGGCAAGCTCACACAGTCATTTTGGTAGTCATGCGATTTCTCAGCAAGTCCTGTTTGTGTAAGAGCCGCAGTGGAGGATTGTGCAATTGTTTGCGGTCCAAAGCTCAAATCATACGGAAACCAAGGCGGCACGAAAAGAGGGACTGCGATGATTCCTGGACTCGAGCTCCTCTCTGGATCAGGTAACATCAATTTCTCATCGATTCTCATCCGCGCATCCCGTGAAAATAAATCTCTGCGTTTTTGTTTCACTTGTACTCTCCAGATTCGCCTCCGAAAACCTTCCTCGAGACGAGGCAGCTAGATGTACATCCTTGGTACTTCTCAATCATAGTCATCAATTTGAATGAAGGCAACGTAAACGGTGGAAAATCTTCCATGATTCGATCGATGACTTCACTCCGGGGTGTGTGATCAGTTGAAGCGACATCTCTTGGCTCGACGATCTTTGCTCGATAGCAGGTAGTCCGATCTCGTCGAATTTGATCTGTGCTCGATGACGGACGCACAAAAAATATCATTAAGAGGTTGAACGCCCACATTCTCGTTCCATGATTCTCGGAACATCCTCCGACTCGCGGAAAATATCCAAACGTACAAGGTTGCCGTCCAGCGGTCTTCCCTCAAAACGGAGAATCAGGAGTCCGACGATCGACCGCTTCTAACCGCAAACTACCGCAATAGTTCTTTTATGATGCTACGAGCCGCGCATCGATTCGAATCGAGATTGGCCGCCAGATCCACGGAATTCACGTGATGGAGCGTCAATTACACCAGATGACTCAATCGAACGGTCCATGCGACGATCGGGCCCAGATGGGGATCGATCGCGTCCCGCGACAATGTAACCAGCCCCTTGGATGATATCTATTCTTTTCACTGCCTTAATCCAGTAGTGCCTCATCGCTTGAGTGAGAGGAAAGCACGAAAATCAGTGATCGAAGATTCTCGCGTAATCGTTCTCACGTAAGAATCGGCTGCCGTTATCCGGGAAGCGGGCGTGAATGCCAGCGCGCATTCGCTCAAGTGAGACTACTCTCGTCAAAAGCGCCTAGTAAATCAGCGATGGTGAACCGGCGCAAAACAAATCGACGAACAAATATTCCGTGGAAAGGGATCCGGCTGTTATTGTTCGAACTAAATTATCCTTCTCTATCGACAGAATCATCCCTCCTTCCTTGTTGTTCTGGTGTTTTTCGAGAGCTAGCAATCGACCGCAACTCACCGGATGACGAGTATAACTTTTCGAATTCCCCGGCTTGATCCGGACTCAGAGGTCGAGGACGTAAAGATAATTGGAGCACTCCCCCCTTTCCATAAGGACTGACTCGTAGAAGACTCAAGTTATTGAAAGGCTTCCTATCACAAGTTTCCGGCGAACTAGAATCCACAAGTCCGTTCTTTCGCATTATCGATATCATCATCGATCGAGCGTCGCAGTCGACGTTCTCAGTGCTGTTCAAAGAGTCCGATGGTCCAACGAGTGTTCCAGGAGCGACTTTCCCAGAATTATCCGGCCGATGATCCTTGAAAAAGTGCCGGAGTTCACTGAAGTACCCTCCATGCCGTTTTCGATGCTTATCGTCACGACAAGAGACTCCCAAATCTCGCGCTTTTTCAGAGTCTCTTTTCTGTTGGAGAATCTTCTTCGAAGCCTTCTTCTTCTGTTTGTTTTTTGCCCGCCTTTTCCTCGAGGAGTCTTTCGACCGCCGTTTCCCGGGGACCTCAGTCACTTTTTCGGAATCCACGAAGTCTGGATTGAAGTGGCATTCGCAAACATATTCGTCATCTTCCTCTCCTCCGCTGATCGGATTATCTTGGCGCGCGTCGATGACATCCTCCGATTTTATCGGAATTTCGGCTTCTCCCTTCTCTATCCCAGGGCAAGCCCAGGACGAGTCGCGGGACTGCATCGGAACCATGGAGTCTTCACCGTCCGCTGGTTCTCTTGTAGAGGCTGACTGGAGAACTACAAAGGAATTCGTTCTATTTAGAGCCATCGAGCGTTGCTGAAGTTTCTCGAGGAGTGACCTTCGCAAAGACGACCCTCGTTCCGGGCACAGGTCCTCTTCTTTGAGGCTCCTCGGGGGGGAAAACGTCGTCTTCTTGGATGCAGAATCCGAGTCCGAGCTACTCGACCCCCCGGGTGCCTCGATTTTTTCACCGAAACTCGGCGACTCGAGAGCGGAATCTCGATGCCGCGAGTCTCGACGTGGCGGAGGAGAGGGCGGTCTCATCCCACCTAATCGCTGGAGATTCTTGGTCACGGGGCATCTGAAACTTCTTGAACCTCGTCGCGAGCTAAGCGGGTCCGATGAAGAAGAGGATTTTCTCTCTGAGACCGTGGTTGCGCTACGTTTCAAGTAGATCTGTCGTCCTCCTTTACGGAGAAGTCCAGGGTCAGCGATATCACAGAAAAGTTGCGGGCAGGGCTCGTCAGCCGCGGGCATCCTCCGAGAACTCCGAGATTTCGTCAGTCGGTGGCTCCGGCGTTTTTCGCTCGTCAGGTGAACGTCGTCTAGAGCCTTGGACTTACGTTTCGTGACTTTCGCGTACTCAACTTCGGATGCTTCGTCGCGAAACTCCACGGGGGCCTTTAAGGGTTCGAATTTTGACAGAATATCGACCACCCGCGGCACGTCATCAGAACCGCTCGTGGACTTGAGTGATTCGGGCTGGGGGGTCTCCGGCATGCAACACTTGCAAGGCTCGTAGTGACTAGCCTTATCCGAGTCTAGAGATGAGGGGACGTTGATCGAGTTATCTTCGTCATGAGGAAGATAATTCCCCGGTTCCTCAGCGGACAGGACGGGATCCGCGGTCGCCTCACTGGGGTCGTCTAGTAGTGAAGCTATCGGATCGAGAGCTGTTCTGTTGTCTGTCGACAACGCGCTGGATGCCAATCCATCGAGTTCTTCATTGAGATCGTCGTCGGCGTACACTGAACTGTAGTTGAGGTTTATCGAGCAGCTCCGCAAAGACTCCGACCTCGTCAAGGTATTCACTGGCGAAGTGTCAGCGGAGGACGCTCGCGTACGCAGGAACTTCAACATTTTCGGAGCAACATCGGGAAACCGGCAGAAACTCTGTGGCAGAGACACTCACAAACACTGACCCGGGTCAGAAAGCGACAAGCGGTTCTGAGCGCCGCCATGTTGGAAGACGGAGTTATGCAACCCAAACGTCTCTCACAAAGAGAACTTATGCCATTGAAAGCTGTCGGCGGCGTTGGCCTTAATCAGAGATAACTTTACCGAATTGACTCGGAGGGGATGGAGCGAGTGGTACCCCGGCACAGCGGAGTCCTGACGCGCGGACAAGGTTTTCGGTCCATTATCGTCAAGGGTCGCAGGGCGAAAATGCTTCTATCGACTTAAACTCCAATACCGAACATTTTTGTAGAATATGTTTTCACTCAATCGATCACTGACTGACGGAGTGCTAATAAACACTCCCACTGCCAATTAGCGGAGCTCGATTGAACTGTCTTCGGAGCTCATCATCTATTTAATTCGTTAGTTGGGAATCCGTTGGTCTCTCGGCTTATTCGTATCGGTCGCTGTTTTCACTTTCGCCACGTCCTTGCGGATCTCCAGGCAGTCCCCTCGCGCCACCATATAATGAGTCGGCGAGCTCTTTGATTCCGTAGAGCTGTTCTTCGAGACACATCGAGCGAAACGCTTTTGTTGGACTCAGAAAGAGTCAACCGTGAGTTGGATTCATTATGACGGAGGCAGACAAGGAGAAAGAGTGAAGAAAGGAAAAAGAGAAACACAGACCGGCTCTCGAGCCGCACCCAGAAATGCATCTTCACGTCCTGAGACTTGATCAGCTCGAAGCTCGCGCCGCCGACCTACATGCGCAGCTATGTGTGACCGCATCGTTTTGTTGGAGCTGCCTCCCTCATTCCATCAAAAGTTTGATGGGACCTTCTGAACGCCTCATTCTGCTCTGCCACAATCACAGTTTCTCGATGGGCTTTGATCATGTCGACGCCGTGACCGATGTACGGTCTCATTCGAAGTTCTCTCTCGTATCTACCCCGCGACAAAGCCTATTCTCAGCGTTTGTGGCAACACTTCCCGAAGAGGAAGCGGAAGAACTCACCCGCTTGGAGAACGACGCCTTCCGGAATGTTCTTTCGGAAAAACCTTGGAGAACGAGCCGACATCAGAAGTCTGCCCAATCTTATTCTGTGTACGGGCCGCTTCTTAGGAACGATCCTCTCCGTCATCAGATTGCACTGAATTTCTTCGTCGCGGACGTCTCTCGCTTTGTCCTTGCTGGCTTTGAGGATGTCGGACTGTTCTACGATCTTCAACGAGGGCAACGACGAGTCCGAGCGTATACGTCTCTGGATCTCCGTTGGAAGCTCCCCAAAGGTCACAGATCGTCTTCGCTGTTCTAACCTGATTGACTCGGTCATCGATGTCTGTCTCGGAGATATCGACCGCGGAAGTTCCGGCAGCTTTCCTTTGGGGGAGGGTGGTTCGGCGATCTGACTCGTAGCACTCGAGAAACTTGCACGGCTGGACGATCTAGAAAGCCGCGATAGGTGATGACCGTACGGTGGTGGAATCAGCTGGGAAGGTCTCCTAAAAGATCGTACCGGCTTCGGTGGTGGTTGGAGACTGGGAATCGACGGGTTATGATAGTACCCGTGCACCGGATCGAGGTATGGCGGCATGGTGATGACTTGTGGCCCGTGGAGGTGCAAACATCCCAAACATCTCGGGTCGGCGACGAAACCGGGCACAAACATTTTCACGTGTCTTGGCCGATACTACAAATGCTGTCGAGCGCGGACGCGAGCGAGTCGAGCCACCGGATGGAATGGTCGCTCGAAACACCCACAATCTCACATTACGCTGTTCGCGATGAGACTGGTGATTTAGATCAGGAGAGGCTTGATCATATCCTCATCCAAAGCTTCTCCGCAAAGAAGCTCAGAGCCACCTTCGGGAGTCCGTCCAGAGGGAGGGGAATGGAATCGATGGATGACAGAAAAGGAAAACAGGACGTCTCTCCACGCGTCGGAAAATCTTCGTGGGCACCCATCCACCGCGATCGGGATACGTCCGTAGCACATCTATAAAACTCGGCTCTGCTCATGGCATGGGGAGGCGAATCGGACGAGATCCGCCACGAGACGATTTTTCCACCGTGTCGAGGAGCTCGCAACCGGGCATTCCGACTCGTTTCGAGCGTCGTGCTATCATCAGAACTACCTGTGCCCATTGATCTTGATTCAGCGCCCAGCGAATACCGTGTTCCAGAGTGTCAGCTTTCGGGAGAACGCGTCCCACGGTTCTCGAGGCCCTGCCATACTCGGGATTCATCGACATGGCTCAGCGAAGCTCCACAGTCAAGCTCTCTACGCCTGTGCCGGATACTGTTCGCGGGGAGACAGCACGGCACACGCATTCCCATCGGAATGCTAGTGTCGCGGGGAATTCTCCACCAAATTCTGAAGTTCATGTGATGCTGCTCTGGGTTCTCCCCGGGTTGTATCTTCGGATGCAACCCCCAGCGTTCTCTATTCTAGACCGTCTCCGATGAAAGTGCGCTGAAGTCGGCATGAAATCCATTCCTAGTATGGAGTCCGACGAACACAGGAGCGCTCAAGGAATGATTTATGCAACTCTCCCAATGGCGAGAAAAGGTCGAGCCTTCGCCCCTTGGAGCAAGGCCAGTCGTAACGCCTGAAGGTGGAGTCAGATATTCGATTCAGGAACCGCACGGACACAGGAAGGTCTTCTTTTTGAATTCGCCCCCCCCCATGTACCGCGTTTCCTGATCCTTGACTTAAACTCGCTTCTAGGGTTTCCGTGACTCTTAGTGGCTTCAATAAACTTGAGAGCTGCTCAGAGGTTCCCGATTCCTCACCGGGATCACAAAGAATTCCATGCTCCGGATCATCCAGCCTTGTGTTGGATGCTCTCCGGAGCTCGTTCGAGTAGCCCTCAGGTCGAGTGAAGTGTGCGCGCTTCCCATGTGTCGTGGAGACCTGTACTGTTTTCCTCCTAAGCTTGTCTCACGCTCACAAAGCAGCGCTCGCGCTTCGGTACCGACTCGTCTGAATTCAGCCTGACTCATTTATAAAAGCATTCTCGGGATCGCCTCAAACATTGACGGTATTTCGGCATAGCAATCCGCGGATAGACATTCAGACTCCGAGCCCGCGTATTCGAGTGAATCAATTTGCAAGAAGCCTAGCTTGCGAGGCGACGGTGAATCGGTATCCTACGTCATGCTTCATGGCTGAATCCCAGAGCCCGGCCAGATGCACTGAATTCCGATCACAGCAAGGATCCCTTCATTCGAAGGTCTCTCGTCGTCGATGCTCCGGAGAACACCGCCTTTCCGCAAATGTCCGAACTACTCTAAAGCCTTGATCGGAAATCCGTATGACAGGGCCTAGACTTTCAGTGGGTTCTGAAAAATTTGGCTTTTCTAAATTGCAAAGCGGATCCATCGGATTGTCAAGCTATTCCTGGAGAATCCGGACGACATTGATTCCCTAAGATGTCGCTGTACTGAGGATTGAATCCTTAAATCCATGGTGCTAGCTGGAAGATTGCTTCTCGCCCTACATCTCTTAGCTGCGAGGGTGTCAGCGTTGCGAGCCTAAATCGAGATTCTGTGCAACCTCGTTCAACGTCGCAGTCGAGCCAGTGTTCCAATCGATCTACGGAGAGCTTCACCCATTATCCCAGAGGCAGTATGGCGTGAAACTGAAGGGCAGCAACAGCATAAAAATGAGGGAAGTCATCTTTCGTGCAACACAAAGCCAGTCCGCTTGCGTACTTTATTGTTGAGAATCTCCAAGAATTCGCGTCCTCATCAATACACCCTCCGGATCCTTCCGGATGGAACGGGAACTTCATCTCCTCGAGGGAATGCCACTCGCGGAGGGCTACACCTCGAGGAATGGGTATGGAATTTAAAAAAACAGCCCGATGAGGATATTTGGTACTAAGCAAGCGATGATGAGTTTTGCGTGGTGCAAAGTATGTACAATGTGAATGTTGTTTTTTCCTCATAAACCGTATCACAGGTCTCTTTGAAAGGTCACCATTTCGCGCGGACTCGCACAGACTCGCTAGGTTCGATTCGAAATAGAGGTGCATATAATGTTTGATGCGTGATCCCAAGAATCCAGCCTCAGAATGGGGAATCCTCAGTATGTCCCCAGAGATACCGATGGGGAATTTAGTCAGGTCGTTCTGACGAAACGATTTCCCATGCTCGAGTCCTGGTTCAGGGGTCCGCTCGAGAAGGTGCGTTGTGAAAACAGGTTTTGCTTTTATACAAAGATGAAGTTCTCCGCTCGCATGCATGACAAAAAAAATCTCGTTCGCGTCCTCGTCAGACGCCAATGCTCGCGTTCTCGCCAGCGTTCTCAGCCTTCCTGACTTAGATTTACTGTGCGTCTGAGTCTTTGATCGAGCTGTTGGAATCCTCCTGTTGAGTCTGCTGTGGTTCAGCATCTTCCTCCACAGGGCCGGCTTCGTCAACTTCATCGTAGCGGGGCACGAAGGAAATTTGGGTGATCCCGACGATGTAACCTTGTTTCACGGCAGCCTGGAGAGAAAAAACATCGATATTCAGTCGGCCTGCTTCTCCGGCTTTTCGGTTCGGGATTTCCCCAAGCAGAAGCATGACGTTAGGCTACGGAGTTTCGTAGTGAATTACCTGGAAGTTAGGAGGGCAGGTCTTGTCGAAGTGTCGGAAGATGCATTCGACGTAGATCTTGTCCTGCTCCTTGTAGTCGTTGGCAGCTTGACTGAAGGCGCGGGAAGAGCACTTCTCGTGGGCGATCTGGGAAAAATTCATGAGTTTTCAGTGTCAAGCGAATCCTCGTATTCGAAGGCTGCCATGCCTAATACATCCGCAGAGTCCTGCTTGCATACCTGACGAGAAGAAGGAAATCGCAACTTGAATGATAGGGAACTCTTACCTTGGTGAGCTCAAGGGTCTTTCCGTCGAGCCCGGCTTGAGAGAGGTAATCCATGTACTTGCTCAGGTTCATGTTGCCGTTGGGTCGCACCCAGCCGATGACCTTCAGCATACACCTGATATTTAAATGAAGACTTAGCGCTCCTCTCAGGTCATGCTTTCGGGGCGAGGATCAGAGAAATCTCAGCTACATATACGTCTTCACATTCAGCTTTGGATCGTGACATAGAGTCCGAACCAGATTTGTTTTTCACGCTACCTGCTCAGATTGGGTAGCGCCTCCTCGACCTGCTCAGGAGAGATGGGGATATGAGCCCTGCAACGTTCCCATGTCGAGGCATCACTGATCTCCGGAAGAACGAGTGGGTTCTTCAAGGGTTCGCAGGATCCCCAGTTCGATGTGAAGAACTCTTCCACCTGACGAGAGAATTCAGAGAGCTTGTTAGGAGTCTTCCGGAGAAAGAAATATCGCGCGGCTCGTGAGAAGCCACTGGTGTCCTCGAGTAACCATGTTCTTTGGAGATTGGGAGTCCGAGGCCTGAGAAGCGAAGTCAGTTCTCTGAATCAAATCACCCTTGTGACCTATCCGGCTGTTTGAGAGGGCAATGAAGTTCATCCGTTCGCCCATGTAAGGCTATTCGGATGATTTTGACTATGGAGCCATGGGGCGGGGTCGATCCGAGGCACCTACACGTGAGACCATTCTCGATCCATCCCCCTGAGAGTGACCTCTCGGGGTATAATCGTGATGGTGGAATATATCAGAATATAATTATTATCAGTAAGTATTTATCCGTTCCCCGAGAAATAATGTTGATGCTCAAGCGAGCTTTAGGTGCCGCGGAATCCTGCGACGAAGGGATACTCCGCTCTAAAGCATTTCCGCTGCGGAAGACGGCTGCCTCAGCAACAGTCTTGGCGACTAAAGGTGGTAAAAGAATTACACACTAGAGCGACGAAGCTTACCGGAGTTATTCGCATCACCGATTACGGTGTCATTGGGGGGAACCAAAACGATTCCGAGGAGTTTCGTAAAAGTCCCCTCTGCCCATTCCTGCAGGCTTCGTCAGGTGCCTCTTGCTCCCGACTCTATTTTGAGAATCGGTCCGACACGAGCGTCGAAGTTCAATTACGCGGTCGGTGATTGAATCGCATGATGGTCTGCTCATATGGTAATCATCCCGTCTCAGATTGAGAGAGGAAGCGTGAGAGTAGAATTGCACTATCGGGAAACGATCGCTACCGAAGAAGGGGCAACGATCGCCGCTCTGTCGTGATTAACCATTCACTTTCACGAAGAACAAATAAAACGCGTCCGAGCCCCGAAATTAGTTTTGGAAAACCATGACGCGCAAGAGCCATTGCCCGAGCCGAGTCTCCTCCGTCGGAATTATCCATGGCGTTTCCAATCATCTTCAGGGACTCCGGTCCGCAACTCTGTTTCCCGGTCAAGATGAGAGTTTCAAGACTCTCAAAGCAGAAGTCCGAGGTGGAGTCATGACCTTGAGACTTCAGGAAAGAATAACAGCGATCTCTAAAAGGACCTCGCGCCACCGTCCGCTAAAATCATCCAGGGCGATGAACATTTGTTTGTGTAACCCAGAATCCATAACCTCGGAGGATGCGATTCTGAGAGACGGGCAAGCTCACCCAAGGCTCCGCGGGTTGTCGAGGAACGAGACCCAAGGCCGAGGCAAGCTGATATTAAGGTAAGTTCCAGTTCCGCATTCAGCGGATCCGAGGAGCCACCCTACAGTCTGCTAGGCGGAACGCGAGTCTAATCGGATTCACCCCCTCGAAGAGAAATTGAATCCGAACACCAGATCGAGATAGGTAGCAAATCTCGAGGGTCATTAATTAGGAAAATGAACTGAAGCATTGAGGAATGTGAGTAGCTAGAAATCGCGCGGAATCTTGGAGTCTGAACTCCGCTGCACAGGGTAAAACTCGAGCAATCCTCGACGATAAATCACGCTCTCTCCGCTTGTTAATACTCTCTGCTACTTACGGTTTGTTTAGGGGAGATCCTCTCAGATTTGTCTTTAGCTATGGGCCCCGCACAGGCTCCAGCGACGAGTACACCGAGGAGAACGCAGCTGAACGTGTTCATGATTACGTTTGTACGACTACTCACACTAGACAGACAAACAGACGGAAATTAGACAACAGTCAGACAGTTGGATTGGACAACTGCTTCTGCTTACGCGCGGCCTTTTGTACCTGTCGGAGCTGCAGCCGCCGCGTCAAGTCAGACAAGAAGCACTGTAGGAGAGAAGAATGTTGGAGGAGTGAAATCGTCGGTCGGTGAGTCCGTTCCGATCTATTCATCCATCCGTCCATCTATCTGCCTGAACGAATGTGTGTCTGTCTTGTCTAGCGAGCCGACCAGCGAAAGTCACTATGGTGCCTTGCTGAAATACCGCAAGCAGGGAGTCAACGGAGGCAAGAACCACAGCAAGAAGCATCCGTTTTTCGGCTATGGAACAAGATGCCACTGACGGGAGAAAGCGAACGACGACAGGGGATTCTTGCGACTTTCACGACTGTGGATCACTGTGACCTGAGAGCGATGTCAGCAAAGTAACCAATAAATATGCGAGCGGCACGAATAATGAGGATCTCGGAGGAAAAAGTCGAATAGCAAGCGGTCCATTCTTCTCAGGTCGTCAGATCAATGTTCTTCGAAATCTTTGGATGCGGCGACGTAATGTGGAATTTCTGCGTTTTGTGCCATGAACACCGATTTTCGATGATCACCGTTGGATTAGAACCCGACAGAAAATCCTCACGGTTGCTTCATTGCTCTAGGAAGCGCGGAGAAAACCTCGACGGGGGATGATGTCCTAGATCACGAGCTCCGATGAATCTCGAAGAACAGTCGAGCGCATGAATTCCGAATGCGAAAGTACAGGAGAGGAAATCGAGGAAAATTACTGTCTTGAAGTTTTTTTTCGCAGGAATAAATTATTTGTCGGTCGACACTCGCGCTGCATGAAATGGCAACGTACAAACACTACGACACTTGCATCATGACGGGCCACGGACTGCTTTCTTTTCGCTTTTTTGTCAGTTTTTTTTATCATTCGACACTTCGATGCTTCACTCGTGTATCTTTCGCTATTTCTCTTACGCCGCTAGCGCGACACCCGACGGCTAGCAGTCCATTGTCTGTACACGATTTGAGAAGTACGTATCATCTACCTAAAACTCTGCCAGTCAGCGATATGATTTTCGGTTATGATTTCCGAGAATGACAACCACGTGACATTGCTGATCCAGTAGCTCTATATCTGGGGGTCTTTAACGACACACATGTCAAGAGACTCTGCCAAGACTTTCTTCGTCCGTGAAAGTTTGTGGTAACTCCAGCAAGCGGGGATGGAGGAGTCGATGTCGCTTTAGCACCTGACGCGCGTTGGCGACGTTCGGCCTTCCAATTGAAGATGCGGATCCACCATGGCCGTCAGCGCTTGCGAGCTCCCACGATGTTATTAAGGAAAGCGAAGTGATCGTGCTCCAATACACTGCTCCGCTCGGGGATGCGGATGGGATCGTATGTGCTACGCGAGCATGCGATAAGAGACCTCCGATTGTACTTCGCTCATAATTTGTGAATTTTTCGCTCTACTTGCGAATGATTCTGTGGGTGTTTCTCCACCGAAGGTTCAGCCAGGGCTCGTAATTTTTTTCGGCATTTTACAAAGCAAAGCGAGCAGGTTGATAGTAGAAGAGTACAGAATGCACAATCCATGTAGTTCAGGCGTGACTTATGGGGCACGCCAACGATTTCGTCCCCGGCGAAAATGCTTTCAATCGCTGGAGTTGCGTGAAGTTGCGCCGTTTAATGATCGAGTTCCATTTTCGGTCAGCATTTTGCGATGCTAGGTGAGCGTTTAAACTTTCACACTTCTGAGAGAGTCTACAGTTGAACGCGTCGGTTCTGCTCGGTTTCGATGTCGTGGCTTTCGCTGCGCGAGCCGGTAGAACCGAGAAAAACCGGCCACTGATTTCATGTATCTACGGCAAGTGTTGTAAACAGAACAGATCAGTTGCAGTATCTGTAACAACAGCAGCCCAACTCGAGCCGGAATCTGATCCACGATCGAACGGCATTCGTTTTTGCAGGCGCTTGCTTCAGAGGGAAGCTCATTCCTCCGTAAACACTGCGGAGAAACAATTTCTGATCCATTCTTGCAATCGTTCTCCATCCACTAGCGGACCTTCTAGAACATTTTCTAGGGACTTTCAAAACTGTGCAATCTACAGATTGGAGAATTCCGACGTGAATACTTGCAGTTCCGTGGGTCCAAGGCTCGGCTGGGCGTGAAATAAAGCCCTTCTGTGGACGTTCCGCTTGACGGAATGGGTAAAACATCGAATTTCATGTTTCGAACATGCCTTACCGACGATCGAAGGACGAGTGTACGATGTACATGAAACATCGTACGAAATATGAAGTTGTCGGCTTGAAGCTCGATCGGAGAGAGATCGGCAGACCGAATTCCGGGGGATCATGTCGAAGTATCCTGAATCTTGACACAGAACATGATGCCCTTTTCCAAGACGATGAAGGAATGTACCTTGCTCCTCGGGCCAAAAGCTCCCTGAGGGGCCCCAAGCTCAGAGCATCGTCGACTTGCTCGGTCGGCGTCCGATATTCCTCCTTCGTGTTGCCTGAACGCGCCATTCCCCGCTCTTCATTAAAAATAATTCTTCCTTTCAGTGCCACCAGGTGGCTCCAACCAGCAAACGGCCGTCCTCTCGGCACTGAAAGGGAAGGACAGGGTGACAAATGCAGAGGGCTTCCGACTGGATGCCCCCCAGAACCGAAATTTCTTTCCACGGCTCTGACCTAAGTCCTCGAGGGAGTTTCGCTAGTCGATGATCGGTCGGGAACTCAATACCATCGGGAGTCGTGACTGATGACCAATCTGAAATTGAGCTTCCTCTCCGGAGACAACATCCCATGCAGTCCCATGGATTGCGCGCCGCTATCCTTTACAGGCACCGCATTGCCTGAAAGTTCGGATGGATGTCGGGGGATATCGATTCCATGGCATCCTCAGTCCTCAGCCTGAATATTATTTCTCAAGACTCCATCTTGCGAGCTCCGTGGGATCATTCATCGTTTTTCATCCACGTATCCCTGGTATTCCAGTCCAGGGTTCCCAGAGGGAGTGAGCCCGTATCTGCGCCAGAGACTGTCGAGTTCTTTCAAGAGGAGCTTTCGGATCGTGGTTGAAATTCAATCTTCAAAAAGCAGACTGAAGGATTGGGACAAGAAGGATTTTCTCCAGGGAGCTCTTCTTGCCAAGCAGAGGAAGGCGTGCGCTTTTTCAGCATATGAGTCTGTCAACCAGGGTCATGATCGGGAGGGTCGCCGCGTTAACCCTCATTTCAGAGCCGATCACTCGTAGGGTGGAAATCCAATAATCCAACGGTTATTTGATTTAAGGAAAGCCGAATCGCCCAGGGCCATGACGTGAGTTTATTCGATAATTACGGAATTCACTAGACAGAGGAGTCGGTCTAGTGGAGCCACCGCGGCTAGCTTATTCCGCTCTGGTTTCAACGACGAACCGCAGCAACCACAACATATTCGCCGAAAGATTAATCGGAAGTTGGTTTCTAAGCAGTGGTCTACGGAGCGGCGTCTAATTCTTGAAAGACTGCCCGACATGATCCCCCTCAATTCCTAAGGATTTGCATTACGCTAATCTCACTAGTCTCATGCTCTATGGTTGAAGTTCCGGTCTGCTTTGCAATCTCTTATCTCAAGATGAAGGGACGACGGGAATTTCGGAAGTTTGTTCAGAGAAAATGAAAACTGCCTCCAGCGCATGACTCGGCTCGAAAAAGATAAAATTCAGGTGGGAATCGAAGCCAGGGAAGCAGTTCCTTTTCTTCCAAACTCGCCATCTACTCATCGAGGCTTTCATTTTCGATAGCCTACTTGCCATCAGCAGGACACCACCGGAATGATGCGTGTGCACCCGGCCGGCCTTTGCCAGGCACATGTCGATTGCGGCAACAGTATAATGAAAAGATGTATCGAAACAGAGCCCTTAATTAAGAAGCAGAGCTGGAATTAATATTTTACGTTGTATTAGGTCGGCTAAATTTACCCTCACCATCGTCCGTCAGCATGATCACAGCCGACGATCTGCGCATCGTTGGGAGGCGTGCCGACGGAAGTATTACCTCCTCGTACTCGGTCCGCGAACTAGAGGGAAGACTAGACTCTGCAAGAGATCTCGAGGTCTCATCCGAGGAGGAGAGCACACTGAGCCGGGAAGTTCCGCGTCAGAGTCGATATCCCGCGTGATTCTTTTTCGATTCGCTCATGTGATGGGCTCCGGTGGAACCGTTCTCAATCGGGGGTCTCGGCGGTTACCCCCCAGCACCGAGTCTGCGATACGAGAGAGGAGAGAGCAACTCTTTTCTCTCGAAGTATCGGATCGTCATAAAGAATTCCGGTATAGCACGGAAACCATTCAATGCCTCATGCTAGAACAGAAAAGCTCCGGTCTCAAGCCACCAGTGCCGTGACAGCGTCAGACTCTGAGTTCTGACTATACGACCGTCTCATGTAGCCCTCGGGTAAGCACTGATCTGCCAGCCGTTGCGAGGATTATTCGAATGCAGACGGACAATAACGTTCCATGCCGGTCAGTTCCACCGAGCTGTTCGACTCGCTTGGAAGGGGGAGATTGACGTTGATAAAAGGCATTCATTGGCTTCGCTCAGCTGACGTTCCTGGCTCGCTCGAAGTAACGGTCGGTTTCAGCAGTAACGGCTTTCACGAAAGCTCAAGGGACGGGACTCACTGATTGACTGGCTGGCCGAGTTCGGCAACGGTGGCGGTGACGGCGGATTTGTTTGTTTTGCCGAGCACCGAAGCGGCTCCCGGCCACTCAGTGAAAGTTTGATGGAGCACCTCTAGAGTGAAAGACAACTTATCCGGCGCTCGCGCTCCTCCCCGCCTCCCTGGTGTTAAACCCAAACGTCGGCCTGAACGTGATACGCCATCGACCTTGGGCGTCATCGCGTAGAAAATCTGAACAACTGATTCGTCGGAAGGATGAGCTCATATGTAGAGAAGAAATCAAAAGTTTTTCGATTTCGAAAGAGCACCGATGAGTGACCTGATCCGAACTGGATAAGGCTCGGTGATTCGGGAGGTCACGAGCGTTCCGTGAAAGGAATGAGCTTCGCGGCGGAAATCTGCTGCGGCTCGGACAGTGTCAGACTGATTCGCTGCTTTTGATATCAGCGAGCCTAACGCCGGCCCGGCTGATGGAATCGAGGAGAAATTTTGACGCCCCATCTGTGGGGAGCCACCGCTGCTGTCGACGTCCATTGACTCTTGATGACAGTGGTTTCTACGGCGTGCTCAAGATGATTATCTCGAGACGGAAAGCTCGGTGGAAACTTTCACCGAAGGGCGCATCAGTGAAGGCGGAAGTAATGCCGGAATATCTCTTTCGATCTTGGTCTATCGTCAACGATGGTGTCGTCGCTCAGTACCTACCGATGAACATATTGTTTCGACGCATCACGTGTGGTGCGCGGACGAGACAACGGAAACTCAGGCTCGTCCCCATCTTTTAATGATAGCGGTACGCTCAACTCGAGTCTTGCTTGCGGAAAAGGATCTTCAAACGTACGGTTCGGTGTCGCGACGTCGTAATTCCAGAGGCTGTCAGACAAGTCCAGCTGGGGGGTCCCGCTCCGTCTACGATTCTTCTCGCACTTATACGGAAACGTTCAGGTTTCGCGTAAGCTTTAATCACTTACAAAATATTTAGCTTCGGCTCCGTGGATCGCCACAACTGATTTTCGGAGGGAAATCCATCTTAAATTCTCTATATACTTCGGAATTGGACGCAGCCTATGATGTCCGTCCGTCCGCCCATCCGCTCGTCCGTCGATCGCAATCGCCCATCGCTTCATTCTAGAAAACTGTCGAAAGACGGGAATAATGTTGCCCTTACTCTTCAGTCTGAGATGACGTCATAGGTGAGCGAACGGACGAGCAAGCACCTTTTTGTTTCGGCTTTTTCGAATAATATAGTAGTTTGCACTTCTTCTGCAACCAGACTGAAGGAGTGGGGGCCGGAAAGGCTACTGCTGCTAAAGGAAAAACGCTGATGGAGAGAAGGGAGAAATTTCTCCGAGCCATTATGTAAACAACGTTTTCGACGACGACAACTTGACACGCGGAGCGAAATCTGACCTTAGGATCTTCACGATACGTAACAATGTATCACGACTCATTAAAGACCGGAGAAAGAAGTTTAAACGAGGAATGAAGCTCATTTTTTCTCGATGGGAAAATTGCCCCGAGTAAATGGCATGCCGTTTACAACCGATGCAAACGACCCGTGCAAACGAACGAAGCACCGATGCCGATGAAAACGACTATTTAGGAAATGCTATGATCCTTATGCTGCGATATAAGAATGAAAAGGAGGGCTGAACAAACAGATGAGAGAATTATTATTACAAGATGGAACAAAGAGCAGATTTTTTAGTCAGTTGGTTAGCTCGCTAGTTAAGATGATGGATGGGTGGGTGGGTAAGTGCCTCTACCCGAACGGGTGATGGGAAACTCCGTTCTGTGTTTAGCGATATGGTGTTAATAAATAGAAGCTGATTTATCTAGCCGTGAAGGCCACACAGATTGGGCCAACGGCTAACACTGTCTCAATCGGCGACCCAGACTTTCAGAACAACCGAACCTTGACGTTGGCATCTCAACGCCTCCATGATGACGGACAACAACCAAGCAAGCCAGGACTTCCAATGACCTACGCTGCTGACAGAAACATAGAAACTAGGCAACTCACTTCGTCTTCCAATACTACTTTCGTCTTAGTCTCGTGCATCGACACCAATTTTTTTTCCGTGAATTCAGCGCATGGAATCGATGGAGCAGAGCACAGACTTCTCGTCTGCCGAGGAGCATGCGTGTTCGATTCCGAGTCTGGGCACCCCCCTCGATTTCTATGTCAGAAAGACTCCCCATTGCGCCATCAGCGAATGGAAGACTCTGAGAGGACGTGTGTTCGTCTACTCTCTGCGTCCGTCCTCGGAAGCCTGTATTCGGCATGAGCCCCCGCATTGCCCCGTGGGGATTTGACATAAGCGCAGAACCGCATGGGACATCTTCCCCAACGTGACTCATCATCATGCTTCCTGGAGCAATGTTTTCGTTCAAATGATGAACAGACCGAGCATTCCTATTTGAATTGTTTTATTTCAAATGGGGGTTACTTGACTGTTTGAACAAATTTATTTTATGTTGCGACAGACGATTCCTTTCGCCGGTCCGCGCGCCAAATACGATAATTCTCTCCAAGTCCATCTTCTCATAAGTCATGCATAAAAGTAAAACACCGGTTCATGCCATCGAATGATTTTAACTATTCCTCCGTGAACGGGTGCTAGGCGATGACGGCTCCGGCACGGCCGTGACCGCCGTGCTAGGCTTATCGACCGGAGTCAACGCTCCGGAGAAAAACACAATAGATGCAGATTTTGCGGTGCAAAGTCAATAGATCTGGAACGTCGAAAGGTTCATCAGCAACGACTGGTGGCGTCGCTTCCCGTCGGTCTCTTTAGTTCTCTGGGCTGCTTCTGTATGGCCATTCCCAAAGGTGAGAAGGGACAATCCACGTTCTGCAGTATTATCACAGATGCGGCTCGATTAATTCGAAATTGGAAATAGAATCTATCAGCCAATCTCTTGTGAGGTACAGAACATTCGCACTAATCTTCGAATCCAGTCCCACAACGAGGCTCTTGTGTTTCTTGAAAATCGAGGTCGGCTTCACGTGCGGCGATGAGGCGCTCGAATCGGACGAATCGTCTCCAACGGACGTTTTCGGGTGTTTCTTCAGAATATTCCCGCCGGCGAGCTCGGTCAGCTGAATTAGGTTGTCCGTTGTAGGGACGTAGGGCTTGTCGAGCGGCGCGAAGTATACGTTGAAGCCGCTCAAAAGACCAACTTGTTCCCCGTCGGCCGCTTCCCTGGCTCGCCGGGGAGCGTCGGTGTTCGAGAACTGCCGACATCCTTTTACCTCGAAAGGCAGTTCCGATACGAGTGTACGAGTCTTCAGGCATTGCTCAACCCATTGATACGAGACGATCGATTTCCTCGATGCTAAGCATTGAAGGAATTTCAATGTGCGCTGCGTGTCGCCCTTCGAGTCAGAGTTCACGACCAAATGCGTGACTTGTGGCGTGTAGTGAGCTGCCAACTGCGCATCCATGAGCTCCAAGAACTCGTTCAATTTTTCCATTTGCGGCTCTTTCAGAGAAGACGTCATGATGACAAGTCTCTTCCTGTCGGTGGAGTCCGTGGTCGCGCCTCGGATATTTTCCTCTTTCGGTTTGACGGTTTTGAGCAGATTCTCGATGACTTCGTTGTATGAGGACAGCTGCATTGGTGTCTTCCCGTCAGAGTTGACCGCAAGAGGGTCAGCTCCGTACTCGAGGAACAATTTGATGATGTCGACGAAGCCTGTGGTCACCGCGTCATGCAGAGGACTTGTGAGACACGATGCCTTGATGTTGACATCCGCGCCATTCATCAGGAGAGCTCTCGCGATTTCTGAGTCTCCCGATTGGGCAACCTGAGGAGGTTTGAACATGAATTTACATCTTAGACCATCTCAGCTCGAGTCCGAAATCTCGATCACCTTCCTTATAAGGTGGAATGGAAGTTCATTCCAACATCATTCCTAATGGTTGGTGTCTGACCTCATGGAGTGGGGACCACCCGGCGTAATCTTGAGTGTTTGGATTGGCACCTTGCGCCAGAAGTTCCCGTACACGATCGATATTACCTTGAAGAAGATGAAATTGTATTCAGCAACACCTGAGAATGGAGTCGATAAATTCCCTTATCAGATGGCTCAGCGGATTTGACGCAATTTCTACGGACCTGTCTTTTTGCATGCGACATGCAGAGGCGTTTCTCCGTGACGGTTTTTCTTGTCGATTTTCTGAATACTCGCTTGTGCAGCACTGGCTCGCGCGTTTCGTGCCGATTGTTGGGGAGTCGTGGGGAAAGCAGGCTGCAAGTCGATGTTCGCCGAGCTCGAACGTGCCTGGAATCACGAGTAAACAACTTGAAATGACCGAACTAGTCAGACAGCCGGTCGATACAGGCTCCATTCAGAGCGAGCCGGGCACGAAACGATTCTATCCGAGACTTCCCTCATCCCGAATTTCGTGTTCCAGAAGACTTCCTAAACTCATGATTGTCATCGGGATCCACCACAGAGAGACGGGGTTCAATACTCACATTCGTCGTCGCTGTTTGGGGGACGTTCTCAGCATTCGATTTCGGAGCAGCTTTGACTTGAAGCGATTTGAAGATCAAGATCAATTGTTGGAGTCTCTTCTCGTCTTTGAGATCGGCCTCCGACGTCGGCGTTTGGCATACGGGACAGACCTGGAGCGGGTGAAAATCAGGAGGATTTCTAACAGGGTAGCGCTGTTTCCTCGAGGGGCTTCATTAGCTGCTCACGGAACCTTATCTGCGGAACTCACCAGGTTTATGAAGCACTCGTAGCACGCTGCGTGGGTGCAGCGGACAGATATTTTCGGATTTCGATAGTGCAGGCGGCACGACGGACACTCGAGATTCGAGCGGAGGCTGCATACGATCTCATTGTATTTCTCGATTATGGATGGGCTGCAAAACAGCAGAACCTCGTTTAGGGAACCTATGCCGCACCGGGACCGAACCGATTCCAGAGACAGAATGACTCGCGACCGAATGACCGAATGAAATAGCCGGTTCCTCTTCCATAATCAGCTACTATCCGCTTCTTGTGATTTTCATTGAGAAACCCGCAAGACTCGACCGACCTCCTTCCCCTCTCGAGCCGTACAGGGACGTACAGCTCAGTTATTGGCTGTCCATCGAGAGCATAAACTCCCAATCCCCGCATCCGATCCGCGATGGGGAGGGAGTCACTACAGAATTGTTTCTCGTGTATGACAGAGTCCCTGTAGGGACGGCCAGGTGCCACTGACCACGCTTACCTCATGTCGAATTTCGCACTCCCGCCCACAGCTTTCGAGTCAAGACTTTTCACAAGGATCTCCTCACAAATCTCAATTCAAAAATGAATGCGACTTGCTCACAGCTAGTGAGAGAAGTGCGCTATCGGTTGCCTTCGTCCAAGTGCGCGCCTAAAAGTACTGTTTACATCGCGCGGACGCCAGATGGCGCGGTTTTCGAACATCCGTACTGCTCCGAGTTTTCCTCGCTCGAACAGATGAAATATTTTTCTCGCGTGAGGACGCTTAAGGCGTCGAGTCATCAGTGGTTGTCAGCTCCTTCAACATCCTTCAGGCCTCCAAACTTTACAGCGCTTGCGTCTCGAATGCCTCCGCGTCTGCACACCGGAATACCGGAGGCGAATGTGTGCCATGAATCGCCGCCTTACACAAAAAAACGCGCCGCTAGGCACCAGACAGTAGACGATGGGGTGGGGATAATTTCACACCTTGGTAACGTAGGCACGATGAGATTTGGAATGCAGCGATGGAGTCCTAGCGGAAGATCACAAAGTGGCGCTTGACGAAACATTTCGCGGCTCGATTCTCGAGCGATCTGCTGCTAGATGCCAGGTGAGTCCGAAACGTTCGCGACTCCCAGTTCATGAATCGCTGCTCTGAGCAACCTCGAATTTATGTCTGCCGGAGGGAGGAAGACATGCATGAAGTGATTATGCACCAAGCAGGTCGGGCGCCTCGGCTCCAGACTCCCTCAACAAAGATCGTATCAGGAACTCGGGGGATCGTTGGCTTATTCATCGGGAAGCGAGACCTACATTTATTCTACAACCTTCTCAAATAAACAAAGTAAAAGGGCTTCCATCGGAAGTGTCTCCTTTCTTCGTCCCGGGGTAGATTCGCGAGTCTCGCATGGGATATCAGCGCCGGGCCCACGGTCGCAAGGGCATTCAAGGCATTAATGAAGCTCGATGGCAACATTCGCTGATCCAAGTTGACGAGTTCAGAGGATTCCTTATGCTGTGGGCGAGAGAATCCATCCGGCCGCGGGAACTTGCTGCTGACGGAAGCACGTTCGACTAGAAATATTTTCTCCGATTTCTCGAAGCACGTACGATGGAAGTCCCATCTCTATACGAAGGAGCTCGCGCTCGCGTTGATGCCGAGGAGTTGACTCTTTTCCATAGGAAAATTTGGGGCTGGATTCGACGATCGGTGGATAAACGTTGAGAAAAAATTATCCTCACGCGGCTCAGCTCTTAGCAGTTTCTTGAGACCGTGATGGCATGGCGACAAATGGCGCCCGGGAGATCGGCCATGGCTTCTTCAATATGCGGTTGCTGGAATTTCCAGGGACACGGATAATTAGGGGAAGGCACGAGTCTGACTCTCCTCGCGCTTTCTGCTGGAGCCGCCTGCCCATTGTCTTACGCTGTGTCGAGCTTCAGGAAACGAACGGGACGAATCGATCCGAATGTCGTATAGAGATAGAGAACGCCCTGGCTCATAACGTGATTGCGAGAGTCCGTCCAGGATGAGGAGACTTACCCCATCGATGAACGTGCTAGGTATGAAGGAAAACTTTCTCCTCGTAGGCGAATAGATCCGGGCGCCAACTCCCGTTCGTTCCCCCATTTCTTGGAGCAACTTCGAACCCTCTCTGGAGTCAGCGCAAGCCCTGATCTTCACAGGGTCGAGCTTGAAGCTTCTAGCACACTAGGAATGAATAAAAGAGACTCGATGAGTCGCCCCGAGAGCTCTGCGCAGTTTCCCTTCGAAAATTGAAGCGTTGCAGCGAAACCTGGACTTGGAAATCTTTTTCTCCCTCTAGAAACACCTCCGACGTTCGAGGGGAGGAGAGGAAGGAATCATCAATCATCAGTCATCAATCGAATAAGAAAGTCACAACAAACCTCGTCGATGTATTTGAGCACTTCGAGACCGTGATCCATGCTACAGGCTGCGAAACGGACCACGTCTTCACGCTGGTGTGGATAATGTTTCAGAGCGCATGCGTGGAGGGTATTTCCTTGGCATTCTTTCTTACCGTGCTGGCATTTGAAGCTGCAAATAGCCCTCGAATCCTAGTCTTTGATTATACGTTTCCGACTTTCAGATTGAATTCAGGCGGGACACTTTTTGTGTCATGATTGGGCGACAGATAGGTCAAACGCTACTGATCATTACATGTCTAGTAGTATGTGTATAAATGCGTCCGATGACCGGAGCGGACCCGGAAAACACGTACGCTAAACCTCCATTTGCGAAGCGATGATCGGCGAAACCGTACGGTACAAGCTCGAAGAGGACGTCCTTTTTGAAGCGATTCAGAGCCGGAATGACCTGCCCGATACGAATTGGGGAGCATTCGTAGAATACACGAGATTTCCCGGAGATGGATGCGTCAAAGAATTCACCTACTCAATATGATCTTGAGGGGGGGGGATGAAACTCACCTGGTCATTCATCAATTTCTGACTGTCCGGACAGTGCGTTTCATAGAAAATTGTAACGCTCGTTCTCGCATGGACGTAGGACTGCAAGATCAATGATTTTCCAATGACTGGGGGCTTCTCTCAGCTCCGTTCCGGTTTCAAGTGAGGAATTTCATTCGGAACAGGTAATTGTCCTAAGGCCGATCAATATGTTGACCTTCACTCCTGAGGTAAGTTTGATCGCGGGAGAATGTAGCACTTCCGTGCATGCTGTGATACATATCTCCACCATGCGATCGATCACGATTGATCACGATCCAACCACGTTTCCTCTAGTTCCTGCATCTGACCGTATACCGATTTGAGGCCAACCGCAATGAGTCGATCCAGGGACCAGCTCTCGACATGCCAATGTTTTAGAGAGCCGTGCTCCACATTCCCTCCTCCCGAAGAATTTTATTTCGGTGAGGAGCGCAGGCCAGTAGTTACGGCGGTGTTGACGGCTGCGGATTTAGACTTCTCCATTCGATCAAACTCATCACGGAACTCAGTAGATGGGTTTCATCCACTAGTGTCGCCGTAGGAGAGATAATTTCATCTTCCAGGAGAACCAGGCGAACACTGGCAAGTCAAGGAGTGCGAACTCCGAAGTGCGGATTTGTGGACGATTCCGACCTCATCGAGATGGAGCCGCGATCTCTGATATTGGAATTATCCTCGGAACTCGCTTGGCGGAGCACTTCCGTTCCGAGTCGGACTTCTTGAGACATGTACGAACATTCATTCAAGAGTACCTCGTGCCTACTGAATCTGATCGACTTTTTTGAAACAGAATTGAGTAAGCATTTGCCCCCGAGACACTCACCGAATTAATTATTATCAAAAGAAGCGTCGCGGCACGGAAACGGTAATCCATTCTTGTTCCTAAGAATACACAGCTTTCGATCAATCCAATTTGGATCGATCCACTTTCGATCCGGTCAAGTCACTTTCGCCCGCAGTGTCTGAAAAATAGGCTCCGCATCTAAATTGATCAAGCCGTTGACCGTCCGGAAATTTAAACGCCATACAGGAAAGATGTTATTCCCTTGCCCTCCTGGTACCAACTAGACAAATGTCCGAAGGCGAGAGAGGAGAGAAATCGAAGTCAGACCGTGAGGCATAGAACAAAACTATATATCAGCGGCGGACTGTCCCAATTCTGTTTTTTTTTATGGCCCAGGAAGACGCCCCACGGATAAGATTACGTTCTTCGATGGCGTCGAATGCTGCCCTTCGGTCCTCAAATTAGTCGATGTACAATTGATGCACACGCATCCGATTTCGACTATACATCCCCGGATCGTCGATGATCGTGGAGCTTCGTAATAGCTCCGATGATACGCGTAGAGCACCCATGGTTCAAATGAGAGCGGTGACCTCACCCTCTTTCCGGGCAAAAGATGAAGTTGCTCGTCAAGAGCATCTATCGAACGAAGCGATCCTCACTCGCTGCACCCGACGGGGAAAAGTGCTCTCATTTATTGCGAATTTTTCGAGCAGTGCAACTACATAGATGCATCGTTTGCCCTTCCTCCAGGCGATCGCCGGCCGTCCATGACCGAAAAATTCGCGAGCTCGCTGTGCGCAGGATTTCACAGGCACAGCCTGCATTGACGGCAGGAGCAAGAATAAGAACTTTCTACCTCTAACCGGTTCCGACTATTTGTTTCCGGATCCGATAAGCTAATGAAAGCTGAGACCGACAACCGTTCGAATTCGATATCACAAGCCAAGCGTATATTCCGGAGTCCGTCGGCAATCTTTGGTGCAGAGAACCGAGAGCATCTCTTCTCAGAGCTAACACGGTATACCTGCCATTGAGCCTGAGTTCGCGAACCGGAGCCGACCTTCAGGTACGGAGGGATGAGCTCCGCGGTGCCTGCAGATGAGTGGTCGTTCTCGCCATTAGAAAAAAAATCGGGTAGCGTTGGCTCGCAGATCCCGGGATCGCCAAAGCCAGGCCGAGTCTTTAAATCAACGATCAGACTCGATACACTTCCGGCAGTCTCGAAGCACCCGAGATCAGTCGAAGGTGTACTGATCAGTCGAAAGTGTACCCTCCGAACGATGAGTTTGTTCTCAGGGTTCGGCTCAGATTGAGTCCGATGCTCCTCGGGGTAATCGAGCTGGAGCAGTGGGCCTTAGTCATAATCGCGAAGATTTGTTTCAGCTCGAGCTGCATGGGGCAATCTCTGATCCGGCGATCTCCGCCCAGCTCATATCTCGATTGCCACAGCCTCCTGGACCGCAATCATCGCTAGACTCAGTCAGGTCGATAATTCGATAACAGCAGGAAGCATCGACTGCCTCGTCCGCTTTGCGTCGTTCCTCGGGTGCGATTTCTCCGTTTCCGACTTTCTCCTTGACGGCAATAATGGGGGGGGGGCTCCTATGCGAATGGAAGTCCAGCTCGTTCCCCTATAGCGAGCACCAGGTGGTTGCAACCAGCGCGCATTCCGTCGAGTGCAGGCGGGGGAGCGCTCGAGGCTCTCGCCAGACAGACGGAATCGCTGAGGGGGGGGGGGGCAGGAATTCGGCCTTCCAAGGAAGCGGTGAAGGAGCGAGCGTGCACGTCGAGAACTCGCATACAAGAGATCCTTTCTACCCATTGACCCAGATACTAGGTGGGAGAAGGTGTCCGGGGGGAGGGCGTTGCGCATGCGCAAAATGGCGTTCGGTGCTGGCTCCTTGGGGGGCAGCGAGCTCCACAACGAGCGCGCGAGCGAGGGAGGGAGGGAGCGAGCGAGCGAGCCTTCTGTCGTTTGAGTGTGTGCTCGTTCGTGTATGTGTGAGTGAGCGAGTGAGTGAGTGTGTGGCTCCATAGCGCAGTCATTGTCGAACGAGGGACTGTACGAGCAAAGTCCCCCCGTTTCCCGAGTTCCGAAATGAATTCTTGAAGTCAGAAGCTCCACTGTGTGTGTCTGTTTGTTGCACGTTGTGTGTTGACCCTCCCTCTTCCCCCCGATCGGATCCTGGTCGATGTACAAGTCCGCGAACGGCGGCATTGGCTCCAGTGAAATGATCTTAGTGTGAGCGACCATCTGGTGGTGGTTGTGTTCGGGAATCAGTACTTGAATCGATCGGGATTTGGATAAGGTGTCAGAGCGTGGGCGTGTCGAGCGCCCGAACCAACATCAAACATTGGTCAAAATATCGGTTGTTGTAGCGCACTAGCCGGAGGCCACAAAATGGGCCAGAGTCCACTCTCTGGCACAGGGCCTCCTCCAGGACAGCAGCAGCAGCAGGCGCCGCAACAGCAGCCACAGCTGCAGCAGGTTCTGCCCGATCTGCACAATCACAGCTCAGCTTCGTCGCATGCCTCGGCTCAAACATGCCAACCCACACCCAGCTCAGCGGGACCGTCGAGTCATCAGCAATGCGGGAACGATTACATATCGGCATCGGGGAGCCAGGACACCGCCAGCAAGAAATGCCCGAGGACCACTCAGTTCAGCGCAGCGAGTCGACCTTTGTCGACGCTCAAGAAACGCCTGATTCGGGGAAAACGCCGATCCTCGAAGAACTACGATCATGCTCAAATATTCCGCGACTTCATCCGCAACACGGGCTGGACGGGACGCGACCTGTCGTCGCTGGTCCGCGAGTACGAATGCCTCGCCGCCCTGCGCGAATTGGAGAATCAGGCCGATCTTGCGCGACCGACGGCCAACGCTGCGCGACGAGATCTCGCAACGTTGTTCGAGTCGAAACTGTGCGCGGACATTACGCTGGTTTATCGGGGGAGCTCATTTCCGGCTCACAGGGCCATTCTGTGCGTCCGCTGTCCGTTTTTTCGAGAACTGCTCTCCGAACCCGCGACGCTGGCGAGTCAAATCGTGGTGGAAATCGACATTCCCGGAGTTACACTACAATTGTTCAACGACCTCATTCGATACCTATATACGGGCGACCTTTACGTAACGCACTCCGGCTCGTTGGGTACGCTGCTCAAGCTCTCCGAACAGTTCGGGATTCCGCATCCTCTCGAGCAGGATCTACGATATCTGATCGAGACCGAGATATTCTGCGACGCTCTGCTGGTCTTCTCAAACAACGGCAGCAACAACAACGCCAACATGAGCAATAATTCCAGCAGCAACTTGAACAGCCTGAACCTGAACAACAGCAATCACCTGATGGGCAACTCCTCTCAGCTAGGGTCATTGGGTCTAGCGTCCGCTTCGTCGCTGAATTCCCAATCGAATCGACACGTTTCCTCGTCGATCAACAACCAACAGGGACAGCTATGTCAATCCCAACAGCAGCAACAAGCTCCGCTGCTCATGCAACAGGGGTCGCAAGCGACGTCGAGCTCTTCGGGGACGCCCTCGTCGGCTGGAACGACGAACGAATTTTGCAAATGGTGCAGTTCAACAGCTGAGTTCTCTTGCCACAAGGCGATACTCGCGGCTCGGAGCCGTTTTTTACGTGCAGCTATCCTACGTCAACAGCGACGCGAAGGTGTTCTCTTGCAGCGTAGTGTTCGTATAACGTTGGACCGATCTGTGGTTCCTGTGAAATATTCAAAAGTGATTCTCTGGTCGATCTATCAGGACAGTGTCGATTTCTCGAGTCTGCTCCCGGGGGACAGTCTTCTCCAGGACGTGATGGAAGTCTATCAGATCTCCAGGCTTCTCGAAATCGACTCTCTCACTCAAAATTGCGAAGACGTCATCGCGGAGTTGTTGGCCGTCGACAATTTGATACCCGTTCTCAATTGGTCTCAACAGCCCCACGCGTCCCGTTGGGTTCGTCGGCAGGCGATCAACTTCATCCGGGAGGAGTTCGCCGCCGTCGCGGCCTCGCCGTACGTACTATGCCAAATACCGCCTGAAACGCTACATGAGGTGCTGTCTTCGGACTTCGTCCAGGCGTCCGAACTTGAAATTCTCAACGCGATCATAAAATGGGCGGACAACCGAACTTTGGGCAATCCGGATTCGATGACGGCCGAAATGCTTCTGAAACGAAACACCAGCGAGCGGCAAGGTAAGGATTCGTTTGGCTCGTGCCGAAGCTCGGGCAAACGGTCGGCGAGTCTCGACCTGTTGCGAGACGCGGCTTTCTGCGAAGATTCGCCCGAAACGATCCAGAAACTCGTTTGTCGGGTGAGGTTCGCACATATCCTTCCGAAAGGCGAGAACGAGTTAATCCAATTGTGCGCTCAGCGAGGATTATTGCCCCCGAACGCAGCAGCTGACTTGCTCAAATCCTCTTCGTCATCGACGACGACGTCGTCATCGAATTCATCGGCGACACTTCCTCACAACAACAGCAACCATCAACAGCAACAACAGTCCCACAGCCAACGGAGCGGAGCGTCTGTGTGGAGTTCGCAGCGACCTCGTCTGTTCCTCCCGTATTTCGAAGAAGCCAAAAGCATTCTCGAATCGTTCGAACACGTCTGCCAAACAACGTCTTGCGTCGCTTCACACTTCAGCATTGGCTCTTCAACGACTCCTTCACTCGCGTTGACGAGCTCGCACGTGACCCGCTCGGAGGAGAATCTCGTCGATTCTCTCTCCCGCAAAGACCCGGCCCCCGAACAAATCGTTCCCAACGGCTCGTATCTGATCGATCTTTCGCGTCCGCCGGCTCTGGACGACGACATCCAGGACACCAAGGTCGACGAGGCGCTCATGGTCGCTCCGAGCGAGGAACTCCTCCATCAGATGCGGCACCGAGAATCCGAATTGTGGACACAACCGAGCGCGTGTAAGTCGATTGCCCTGGCCCCGCACAAGCGAGCTTTGGTCAGCTCGATGCTCCAACTGAGGGTCGTACGTGAAATGGGTTTTCCGGATGAGACGGCCCACGCGCTAAAAAATTACAAAACTACCACGCAGTCCAGCGCTCAGAATACTTTCTCTCAAAGCTCCAAAAGATATACCGCCATCGACTCCGATTCGCAATCCACGACGATTCCATCGCTGCTCCCACACCATACGCCGCAACAAAATTCGTCGAGTCATGCACAACAACAGCATCATTATCATCATCAGCAGCAGCAGCAGCAACAACAGCAGCAAATTTTACAACAACAACAACAGCAGCAGCAGCAACAAGTGCATCATCCGGAGCAGCGGATCAGATCGTCGCATTCTGGTTCGCACAAGCGGAGTCAACATTTGCCTCAAAGCACCGTGATAAACCCCAGCCATCTCGGAACGATGCCTCGTGAGCTACGCATGGTCGCTGGCACTGGTCCGGCGCTCGAATACGCCGCGATACAGACCAGCCTCGCGGACTTGCTTGCCAATCAAGCGAATTTTCACGATTTCAGTGATTTGACACTCGGCTCAAGACCCAGTGGTCGCAAAAGCCAGTCGCGGAATCCGCACAACATGCAGAGCGTTCATTACAGTCTCGCTCGACGGAAGCAGAGGCTTCATATTCCGTCTCAGTTCCTCTTGCGCGACGATACCCTTCCGGTGTCAAGTCTGATGCCGTGGACAGCTCCTCCCCAAATGGCTCAAACCCAAATACAAAACTTGGCCACGACCAATCGGAGACTCATGTCGACCTTCGGTAAGTGCCCATGCGATCGATATCGAAATCCTTCACCACTTCGTGAAGATGATGATATTATGATTTCCCTTTACGAAATGGCCCCCAACAATATCCACCGGTCGACACAGCTGAAGGATCGATCTTATATCGGAGCAGATGGTTTTTCAGGATTCGGTATGGTGGATTACAACTACTGCCGCCACGGAGATCGAGCCTATCGTGAACACATACAAAGCCAAGGCGGCATCAATGGCTGATCATCGAATCTGACCGGAAGGATCGAAATGAGAGTTATGTGAACCAGGTCGATTTTCCGAGGAATCAAGCCCAGGAAACTATGTACTAGTCTCTGTTTTTTTCTCATCTCGAAAGAAAACATGTCGGGTCACGTCACACTGTACCAGAAGCGCACAATCAATGTCTGCTTCTGATTTTCTTGGATTCGGGATTTTGTTCCCCTCCGTTCGAAAAAGTAGAGCCTGAAACGATATGATTTTCCCTCTGACAGATCGCTGACATTTATTGTTAGAACGAATAACTCCGTTGACCGTTTCGTTATTTGCTCTGATGGAAAAGCGTCTTGGGGAAGGACGCTCGTGTTAATACGATACTTGTGATCAATGTGCAGAACTTCAGGAAACTTTTCAGCCTAGCCTCTGTTACTAATTGGTACTGCCCAGGTGCTCCTTAAAGATGTTACGGGAGTACTATTGGAAGCCTTCGACCGGGAATACTCTCTTCCGCTCGAACGTGATTACTGACTTTCTGAATCGTTCACCTCCTACCGACCGAGCGAAGACTGCCTCATTCGCTCAAATATCGAACTCGATCGGATGCCTCAGACCCTGATTCACTTTCAAGTTCGGATCCGTGGTATTGAGGAACATCAAACTCTAGAATACGGAACTTAAGAGCTCATGAATCACAGAGCTGTAAGTCATGGGCACCGTTCCGAGTGGATATCGTTCGTTTCGGTTCGCTTACAGCGAGGACGACTAGTGTTCCGAGCAATTAATTATTTCGGGAATGATAGCATCTGAGACCCTCGGTGTTGCGTCAATGCGATGAATGTTTGTTAATCATTTGGATCATTCTCGGAAGATGTTGAATGTCGATTCTGTACAGTAAGCAGCTAAGTCTGGGACTGGGAACGCCGGCCGATCGGTCGGTTGGTCACCTCGGCTAGCAATTAACACACGTTTCGTGAATTGAACGCGGAAGTTCCGACTCGAGGAGCTTCTTTGCAGAGCCTGACCCGGATTCCCGAATACGAGACCCGAAACCAGCCCAGCTGTGTATCGATAACGGGGAAAAGATCAGAGCTTAGGGAAATCGGGCGGTTCATGGAATGCCTGGCATAGTCTTCATGTTGACGAGATATTCTTGAGTGAAGACTTCGTTCGTTTTGCGCCCGTGTATGACTGTTTTCGGACGAGAGTAGTTGAGAGAGGAACACTATTTTTCTAATGAAAGACTCATGTCGGTCGAATGCGATGATCGTTTCGAGTGCAAAAACGCGAGGAGACCTGGCTTGATATCCTCTGTCATAAACAGTTTTCGAATTCGTTGGAGGGAGAAATGAAGTCCGACATTTTTTTCTCCGCGCTTCGCCGGACGAGCGCGATATCGTGCCATTTCCTCCGACGAAACTTCGGTCAATCGGAGGTCATTCACGAATCTGATTCGAGACTCGTCACCTTGTTCGAGTTGGCCAGCAAATATCCATTGGTTCCCCATCCAGGTTCCGTAAATTTCGATTTCAAATATTTCGAGCCTCTTCGCTCCTCTCCTTGCAGGACAGGGGAGATCGAATCCTATGTATTGGCAAGAATCGTGCTGCTCAGAATGAATATTCATCTCAGGAACGGGCGAAGGAGCTCTCAGATATACGAAACCAAGCGTAGCCGTTGGGAAAATCAACCTTAATTGGAATGAGGAGACAGGATATTCGAGTAGCTGTTTTAAAACTCGAAATTCTGCCGTGAAAGAAGATCGAATTTCGGGAGTCTCGATCTGTCCCACAAGACTCGACCTCTCTCTACATGAATCTGAATGATTCCCCACGAATCCTGGGAAATTTGAGACGTAGAATGAAAGAATGAGTTTCTGTCACCATAAGCTGAACATACTCATACGGATACTACTCCTTCTACACTTTCGACCAGCCTCGTTTGTTGACTTCGTCTTGTGCCGTGTCCTAGTGTATAAAGATCCACTGAAAGATGAAGGTTATCTGCAAGTGATATCGCGACCACGAGAGAGCATCGATTTTCGGGTAGATTCATGATGTTCGAACAAACCAAATGAGCACGGAACTTGCTGATGTTGCAGAATGCAGATGAAACTGTTGCTGGATTCAAATGAATCGTATCGAATTTTTCCCGAAACAAATGGACAACTCCGATAAGCCCCGAATCAACATCCGATCACTATCGGAACTCGGATTGGAAATTTTCCTGGAAAGTTATAATTATCCTCCCGATTCTCTATGAGCATATAATAATATGAGGAGAATCGTTGGACTTCATCTATTCGAATACGCTTTCCTTTCTTCGGCTGTTCGCGATGAGCGGGGGATAGGGGTTGGTTAACTGAAGGAAAATCATACCGAAATTGACTTTTCTGGCCAGTCAGTGCTCTCATCGATCACTATAGATGCTTACCTCCATGGATTATCATCGAGCGTCGACGTAAGATATCGTGATGCCGTCGACGACAGAACTCGACTCAAATGTATAGATAGACCCTATATGATCTGTGTTTGCGGGCCTAATTACATAATAAATACTAATATGAGCTCTGATTACGAAGACCAGAGCTGCGAAGACACGTTATTGTGCGTCGATTTTCTCAACCCGTTATGATGCTGAGGAGAGATACGATCAAAGCAAGATGGAATAAAATATCAGACTTTGTTCTCAGAATCTCGCTCGTCACTATGATCTCCCATGAATCTGGAAGTGTCTCTATGCAGGCTTAATGCACTCAACAGGAAACACAGAGTGGTTCTCATGGCAGTTTATTGTTCTGATCTCTCTCAATCAAAAGCGACATACCTAAGCACATCATGGCCTATTGAGACTCGTCGTATATTGAGGTCAGGGGATTGTATAGAAGTCTTTTCAACATGGTTCATGATGGACTTCTCGCATTTCTGGCAATCGAACATCGAAATCCGGGCGACATGGAGCCACGAGAGGATGCAGAGTGTGCCTGAAGCTGGGAGCGTATCGGCTTCAGCATACACCGAGCATCACGAAAGCAGAAGCAACCGGGCATCACACTGATGTGGATGAAGAAGAACCATCAATGGCCTTTCCATTCTCTTTGCTCTCTCAACCTATGTATGCACCAAGCCGTCGAATATGGTGGTTTCGCAGCCGGACATTGCTCCGACGCATACGGCCATCGATGCGGGAACAAGAGAACATGAACAGAGGAATCCCGTCGTCACTCCTCTTCGTTGCAGGGACTTTTCGGAGATCGGATGATCAAGGAGAATCCGAAGTGAATATTAATGCAAGCTTTCGCGCGGCTGATTCTCGCGTGCGTTTGGGGAGATGCGGTAAACATTTAGCAGCAGTAGCGCGGCAGCGAGGAAAATTCCGTGCTCTTTCCGAACTCGATGAACCTGGAACCGAGGAATCAAGTACGTATGATTGATGAAGAAGGCGCAGAGCTCAGCCATCTGCTGTGACTGTCCAGAGAATCATTGTGGCATTTCAGGGACGTCGAGAGAGAGAGAGAGCGCTTACATTCTACAGCGACCGATTTTTCCCGCTACCCGTCAGCGTCAAGAATTCGTCCCGCGTTTTAGGATCTTCTCTGAAGTATCCGAGCATTGTGGACGTAATTGTGCGGGAGTTGATTTTCTGCACCCCTCGCATAACCATGCACATGTGCCTAGAAGGATTCTTCTTGTTTGGGAAACCGTTGCTATCGCTCGATGATCACACTGGCAGCCTGGAATTAGGGATGCTCAACTCACGTGCACTCGACAACGACACCGACTCCGGTGGGGGATATAGCTTCCTCAATGGCGATAGCGATCTGCTTCGTCAGCCTCTCTTGCACTGGAATTGAGTAAAATTGATTTCTCGGCAACTCCGCGGCTTATGTCCGCATCTCGATATGCTCTAGGAACCTCTGAGTGTGTCAGATCGCAAGGGATGCTCACATTGTAAACGTCGGGCGTAAATTTCACAAATTCTGTGGAGGAAATTTCGATTATTGCAATGATGCTAGATTCTCAAGAACCTAAGCGTTCAGATCCAGAGTGAATCGTACCTGGCTATCTTGCTGAGTCCCAGCACCCGCTTATTTGGCAGATAGCCTATGGATATCTGGAGGGGAAAACGGTGGGTGAGCGATTCATTATTGCTCGATTGTTCGGCCAAACTTGATCCGTTCCAATATACGTTATGCTCGGAATGACGCTCACCTTGCCAAAAAATGGCACTAAGTGGTGCTCGCATAACGAGAAAATCTCAATGTCCTTGACTATCACCATTTCATCGGTGTTTTCAACGAAAATCCCTCCGCCAACAACCTCTGGAGAACGAATGAATAATAATAATAATAATCCATCCATCGATAATTATCGAAGGAGAACTGAACCGCTCCCGATTTCGGATGCGGGTCTCCCCTCCGAAAAATTCGCATGATGAGAGCGGAAGCAAATCCTAAGGCGAGGAGTTCGAAGCACTCTTTATTGTCCTCCGAAGATCGCAGCAATTTCAAGGGAGATGGGGTAGGCGTCTCAGGCTTCTCGGACTTCCGCCCGGATAATACTCCCTCGATGACTGCATCGGAGGGCGCGCTCTCAAACCTCGAACAGTCGGAGGATATCATGAATAATAATTCTGTTCGACTAAGGAGGATCTCGAAAATACCGATGGTCTCCGAGGAGGGAGGGATGCTGCCTTGCCACTTCGGCTGGTTGCCACGGGAGCACTCTGACCGATTTGAATGATAAGGTCCTAATGATGGAGAGAGTAATGTGGATGTCGACGCTAGGCTCAAAGCTCGGCGGGATATCCACGACTACTATTATGCAAATCCTTCAAGCAGAATCTGCCTGTTGAGAAAGAAAGCGCCGTCATAATCTCGCCGCATACCACCCGAAAACTCTCGGTCATCAGCAGAGGTCGGAGCGTTGCCATGGGGATGAAGTTGGCCGAAGTTGCGAAGAGCCCAACGTATCCCATTCAGGCTTGGCTTGACTTGACTCGGGCTTGCTCGGATGCCCGGTCGGCCGTTCGGCTAAACTCCCTGCCGAAGGCCCAAGTTTCCCGGCCTGGAGGTCGGTCGAGAGGAGGAAGCGACCGACCGGCCGACCGAGAGGCGTATAGACCGATGCATTCGCAGAGGTCACGCAGAAAACTTTGCGAACTATGGGGACGTGCTGCAGGGCTGATGATCGTTCAGGAGTAGATGCAGATAGATGATACTCCAGCGAGAATCGCGCGGCACCGGCTCTGTGACCAATTATTTTTTGCCCCCGAGGGAGTTGCAAAAGAAGCACTCGATGCTCAACGTGATTTCCTCAGTCAGGCTGACACCGGGGCTAGCAAAGCTCCGGACTCATTGATTTTTGTAAGTCAATGTGGAAAAGACCCTTATATAGGGGAATACTCATCGAGGTTTTCGTATGCCCCGAGCGAGAGGGAGACAATATTCGTCCACACCGACACCTCGAGTTCATTCTCCCGACAACTCGTTCCGGAGAATCTTGACCCTCCTGGGCTCCTCCGAGATCCCGGAGCTCTCTTGTTCCAGAGCTCATATCATCACTCATAGTATCTGTGGCAACTCACCCCTGACGGTCTCGTTGTAACCTTTCGTGAAATGCATGAGCGCTTTCGCCGCGCGAAGAGGTGTCTTGACAAGACCTTGGCGGGTTGTGTCTTCGCCGAGGTCTTGCAAAACTTTCTCGAAATGGACGCTCAGCTTGATCGCGATGTCATCTTCTTCGTCGACTGATCGGCGTGGCACAGGAGAAGTCAATTGTCTCATAGAAGCTGTGAAAGAGAACGCGATCTATTATTGAGCTTATGTGAGTCGGTGGTCCTCAGGAATTTTCCATCGCTCACATGAGCGACCCAGATTTCGGGTTTTCTCTGCAAATTTCCCGGGACTCATCCCCCCGTTTTTACTGTCAGCGATGACTACATAGCCAGAGGACTTTCTAGCCAGCCTCTCGAGCGCGGGCTAAGAACCAGGGTGAGAGGGACAGGGATTCGATATATTGCGGACATCGGAGAATATTCGGAAATTCGGACGAGGTGGCCGATTATAGGGATGAGCGGCTCTGGACCGGAGGTCCTGGTCCAGCTTTTCCAGGCCGATGTTTTTCTTGCGAATACAGTGGAGTGAATATATCTCGCATTGTTATCGCGGTGGCGCATTGTCTAATCTCCATCTAATGACGTGCTGAAGGCCTCCCGTCCGCCGACAATGTCGCATGGCAGCTGATGATCGACATACAAGATACGCCGTCGTTTCCGTTTTATCTTAACGACAAGGCCTAATAGGTAATCAGAATCGATATGTATGCTCCGATCGATGAGCCAGCGGGAAGCATTGTCGATCCACGGCTATCCATCAGCTCACAATCAATGCTTCCCAGCTGTTCTCATTCAAGGGAGCTAGGACATCAACGATCTGGAACACTCCTCGGGAGCTTCAATATCGCTAATTCAGCTTCTTCGGTTTGGAGACGGAACTTCACCCTGTCTACCTACCCATCGATCGTGAGGCGCTAGAATCAGCCAGACTGAGCGACTTCGGGGTGGCCATCGGGCTGACCGGAGGAACTTGAATAGAGGAAACTTGTGAAGCAGTTGGAATTCGCAGGTGATGCCGCAGTAGTCAATGGGATTAAGAAGATGCGCACTGGAAGAAAGTCACCAAGCCTTCGCGCCACGGAGCCCGTAGAGTCTGTGGCGCTCCGGTCGCCGAATCTCCCTTGCCACCTGCAGACTTCCTTCCACGACCAAGAAGCGAACGTTGCTCCTTCTTTTTTCCACCGAAATCTGTTCGAGATAGGGTGCCTCGAACACCTTGCGAAGTTCTCCTGATTCGAGTTCGGACTCACAGAACAGATTCGTTCTTCTTTGCACTCCAGGCTCGCCAAGGTCTTCTCTGACTGAGCTCCATCGCGAGCCTCCTCTCGCATCCCAATAAGTCTAGACAAGCATCGAGAATCACGGGCCGAGCCAAGCAGTCTTCTTGAACAATTAATCGGCGGAGCCTTACTCAGATTCCTTTGCATCGGAGTAATTTTTCTCGCGTATCCGGGAATCGAGTCCGCAGGAGAGCTCACCATCAACGGGAAAATTTCCTTCACGGTATACCGCCGCGTCGGGCTCTCCCGGCCCTCGCTCGAGGTTTCGGAAAATCTCCGTCTGGTCTCGCAGGAGAACAGCGAATCTAATTCTATCCACCCTCTATTCACGATGGCCATCCGATCCGTCACAATCATGCTAGAAGCAATAGGGAAGAGCGAAGCTTACATAAAGACTCTTGAGAGACAGGGCTGAAGGCCGAATAGTCGAGAAATTGTGAAAACTGCGGAGCGGTGATCCTCCGCGGGGAAGGCAAATATGCTGGATCTTTTGCTGCTGCTGGGAGTTTCCGCTCGGTGATGAAGTACAGCGTCATCGGTAGGCTTTGGTATCGCGGAAGAAGCTTCCGGAGGCTTACGCGGCCTTCGCCCCGTGCTCACGACGTCGACGCTTCGACGAATCTGACTTGTCTTCCAGGTGGGAATAATGAAAGTTTTGAGTCTGCCATTGCCATGTAGAGCCGAGCATCCGATACCCGGGAGCGAGGAATGAGGAGAAAGAGAACACACACACCGAGGCTATAGAGCGTATGCAGGAGATAGACTTCAGAGCAGCCTCGCAGGCTAAACTCCAATGCGAGGGCTCGAATACTCCCTCGAGTGTTCCTTTAGTGTCCCTTCTGCGACCGGAATGGTTGGAAATAAGACGATCTGCGATCCTCTCGCATGAGGACGGACTGTCGTCGTATCCGAGGATCTCTGGCCCTATGCTTCCCCATGATTCAACACTCCCTTCCGCGAGACAGTCGATCATTGTACATATGTATGGACTTGAACGGTCCTTACCCACAGAATCAGGCTCTCCTGACCGAGGAGACCAAAAGAATCTCAGATCCTGGAGGATGAGCGACATCTGCTCGATCTCCATCATCCATCCATCTCGATCCGTCTCATCAGGTTTCTTCGGGGAGGGGGAGGAGAGGGAAGCGATATTTCCGGTGACCTATGGTCTCTCTCGGCAGGGCGGAAACTTGCTATCGTCCCGATGACGTCAATCGTGAGAAGCCGATCGTAGTCTCTAATAGTTACTTATTTATTCCATTATGTCGTTTTACTGAATAACACTTTCCAACGCAAACGAACGGAATCCGTGTACCAAATTACAATCCTCTTCTGATCCATCATTCATCTTGCACTTGTGATACAACTCCTCTTCGAATTTAGCACACGTTCCTCATGGGCACGTCATAGAGCTCCCAATGCAGAAGAGACTATTTTTGTCGCAGAAAACTCTCCGTCTGCTCGAGGGCGGAGTGCTTCCAAGTTTTCATGCCACGATGCTATCATTATTATAGACAGATTTCACCTCCTCGATTTTATCTCGGATCGAGACCTTCGCTAAGATCGGTTCTTCCCTCATTACTCATTACATATTTATACAGTAGAGAAATCGAGGCTTGTCCGCAATTTGCTCTTTTTTTCACGAAATCATACCTAACGAAATAGTTAATCGTAAACTGCACGACGCCAATTCACGGGAATCGTCATGGATGGACAGGACAGGCTCACGTTCCGAATTTCCTCAAAGGTTTCTGTAAGGGAGAACATTTATTTAAGATTTTCCCTCATTGAAGCGAGCGGAAACGATAGTGGAGTCCATCATCCCATCGGGAGGAGTTTCAGGAACCGCGATTTCCAACGAAAACCGGGCTAGGACGCTTCCCGAGAAGCTCCGGACCGCTCCCCCTCTCGGGTCCCGACAAGAGTTGCCTCCCCCCCTTCCTCTTGCCACCCTATCCCCTTCCCCCGGGGCGTATCTCCGCATGCAGACTCTCAGGAGGCGACCGATATGAGTATGGCGAGAGGGAAATATCTGCGGACGGGGTCCATGCTAGCACGAAGGAGTCTACCGGGCTGAATTCGATAATTCAATCCAGACATACGTTTCTGGTGAACCCTCCGACGTAGGGAGATCACTCGTCGGATAGCTCGGACAAAACATGCATTGATGGAGATGAACATGCAGTCGGAACGTATAGCGGAACGTAGCGCGTGACTTCACCGCGATCACGACGACAATCACCTTTATCGAGATGTGAGTCTTGCATTAGACGATCATGGGTCGTGAGGTTGCCGACTCGAATAGAGCGATCATGAGGTTTTGTTCCAAGTACGAAGGGAGGTTTCTGTCGAAGACTCTGAGGTGGTTGTCGATGTTGTTCGTTATGTAAATGAAGTTCGAATACATCAGGTGCAGTGATGGAACGACCCGCGGGTCGTATTTTCAGGGCCGACGTGTGTTCTTCGGCGCATCCTTCCACTCCGTGGGGCGCATCGCTCCGCATATGCGCATTTCAAATCAGCTTCACTAAGGTTCCTGCGAGTTCCAAATATCACGCAATAGCATCTCCAGCTTTCGGTCCAACAATCGTGTGAGTAAATGTGTGTAAGCGTCTGTGATGAACGGTGACGAACTCGTTTGCGTTAACGTATATCGATATGGGGAGAAATTGAGTGAAATTCTACAGAATCGGCAGAAGACCAATCCGCCCAAAACGATCACAAAGATTCGAATCCGAATCGTGAGAGGATGGACTCCGCGCGAGACATTCGCGCGTTGGCTTGAGCGACAAAGCGCCCATCGATGAAAAGGGGCGTTGAGGGTATGAAATGAAATCCAATCGATATACGAGGAAACTGAACTCGTTCATGAACAGTTCGGATCACCTTTCACAAGTCAGCGTCCATCAGTCATCTCAATGTGGTAACGACCCCTGCCATTAGTCCTTTGCCCTACTGCTGTTGAGCGTTTTGCTTGTTTGGGTTCGTTACTTGACTCGCCTGACTGGGGACATTCTGAGCTTGTGAAGTGGTCGGCGTCGTGGTCTGCGAATTCGCCTGCTGCAGAACCGCCTGTTGTTGTTGTTGCTGCTGCTGCTGCTGACTTTGCGACTGAGGGGCCTGAAGTTGCGATTGCACAACGGCCACCGGAGTTAATTGCGAAGTCTGTATCTGAGTAGGTCTAATGGTTGTGGCGATTGCTGCAGGGATCAAAGTCGAGCTCTGACCACTAGCCGATGTTGTGATCGTTTGTTGGTGGACGATAAGCTGCTGAAGCTGTTGAGTTGGTTGAGTTTGTTGCTGCGGGCTTTGTTGTATGGCGTGCTGTTGATGTGTTGATTGGCCAGCTTGCTGCTGTTGTTGAATGAGATTTGATTGTTGTTGTTGTTGAATTTGTTGTGTGATCTGCTGAGATTGTTGCTGCAGCTGCTGAGCTTGTTGGAGGCTTTGCCGCTGCAGCTGTTGCTGCAACTGCGGTTGAGGCTGCAGCTGGGACTGCAGGGCGGTCTGAGGAATATTGATCTGGGTCTTGATCGACTGTGTGTTCTGTTGTGAATTCGCGGTGCTGGTCGTCGCCGCCGCCGCCCCCGCTGCGGCGGTGGCTATGGACGTTGTGGTTGTTGTTGTATGTTGTTGCAATTGGAGTTGCTGTTGCTGATTCTGAGGCTGGATCTGTTGTTGAGTCAATTGTTGTTGCTGGGTCTGTAAGTGGAGTTGCTGTTGTTGAATCTGTTGGGGTTGGAGTTGAAGCTGCTGTGGTTTAGGAGCTTGTTGCTGCTGCTGCTGCTGTTGTTGCTGCTGCTGCTGCTGGACTGTCTGCTGGCTCTGCTGTTGCTGAGTTTGAGGCGCAGGACCACTGTGTCTGATCCGCATGGTATAAGGAAGGCTCTGCGGCGTTTTTCCCTGAGCAACGGCCGCGACTTGCTGAGCGCGAGCGACTTGGAGCGCGGCTTGGACTGCTTGCATCGTGGCGCTAATGGGCGGACCAGAAGAGACTGGAATCTGGAGAACGGCTGTGTCTCCGTGCGGCTTGGCTAGAACGGTTTTCGATTGTGGTTGTACGGTTAGGATCCTCGTACCGGAAGCTCCGCTCGAAGATGGCCCCAACGTCACCGTAGCCATCGTTGGCTTGGCGCCCTGCTGAAGCGCCGTCAACAGTTGCGTGTGAGAGGCCTGTGCGTTTTGAGTGTTGATCGTACCGGGAGTACTGCCGGCGGACGTTGTTGTGGCCAGGACGAAATTCGCAGATTGCTGGCCGGGTATAATTTGTTTGAGGAGGTGCGATACGGCCACCGACTTCATCGGGGCGTTCTGACTCTGCCCGCTCGCACTGCCCGGCTGCTGGTGGACAATTTGGACCGTCGTCGTTTGCACGCCCGCAGGGGCCGATTTGGCCGACTGCTGGGGCTGTTTGGATTTAATCAGATGCGGTTGGAGGAGAATCCTCTGGTGTTGGTTGCCACTCGTGGATGGTGTGCCCTTCGCCCCTTGGGCAGCTGCCGTCGCTGCAGCAACGGGCAGGGTAATTCCTGGAGAGGGAAGAGGGGAAGAAACCAAAGATTAGTCGAGACGCCTTTCCGAACGCCGATGACTTCCCGCCAGCTCGAGGGAATAAGGAACGAAACGTTCGATATCCGTCGTTCAGAATTTTCCTCCGGAACGTCTTAATCTAGCGGCTGCGGTGCTCCACCATGCCACACCGAGAAATACTGCGTTATCGATGGAAATAAATTAAAGAAGAGAGGGAGGCGGGAACGCTCACCGGTCACGGTTACAGCCGAAACAGGCAAAGGAACTCCGCTTGGTTTGACGAGAGTGGCACCTGAAGCCAAAATCTTCTGCTGGCCAGCTTGATTTCTCTTGAGAAGTTGAGTCAATTCACTCTCGTTGACGACTGTTCTTGCTGTAGCACCGGTTTTAACTCCCGGATTGACGACTTGTCCGATTTTGGTGCCCGCCTGAGTTGTCACTAACTGGCCACCAGCAGACCCTTGCGAGGTGATCTTCACGGCCTGTGAGGTCACCACCTGCTGAACTCGTTTTATCTGCGTCTGTTCCGGTGCACTACGGACGGGCTGTCCTCCCTGTTGACGAATCAACGATGAATGTTTCAAGGCTTGGTACTGCAGCTGTTGGCTCGGAGTCACGCTACGACTCGCGATGCCACGTTGGGTCGCTGCTTGTAACTGCGCCGGTGATAGGCTCGTAACGGATACGACGGGAGTCGTAGCAACCAGTTGGGTCGTACGAATCGGGGTCGAGGACTGCAAGCAGGAGGATCACCCGAATTAGTATTCATTCCGAAATTCTACAACTACTAGCATTAGATGTCGTCTCACGAATTCGACACGGCAAGCGAATGAGTTTCCGTTGAGTTAGCGAGTCCTACTATCCCATTGAGCGAGCTCCTAATGGGACGGAACTTATGGGAATCCCGGGAAGGGCGACTTCTACACTCCATGCTCTCAATAGGTTTCGAGAGTGTTTCCGAGAGTGGAACACTTTGTGTCTATTGGACGAGAACGTGTCTGTTTTCCCCCTTATCCGTCATTATTCCCTCCGTTCTCGGTTCCCCATGCGTTACTCCTCAATTGACCCAAAAGACGTGTCATACTGAAGAACTCTTGCCTTCTTCCCCAAGAAGAGGAATTCGCATCCTGACAGCAAGTGTGGCATATATGTACTACTGTGCGAGAGAGCCTCGCGAGAAAAGGATATCAGGCGTCGTATCGTCACGGGCCCCGTTCATTGACTTTGCATGTTGACTCGGCGCGGATTTCGAGTTGCCTTCATTACAGAGTTCTACTCAACGTAATTTGGAAAGGCTGCTCCGTCAAGCGAGCTTGAGTCCGTCAAAATCAAGAATACGGATGAGTGATCGCGTCAAATGGCACTGAACGAACTCCGACGGAACGATTCCGCATGGGTTCTCCGTACGCTCTCGATTAGCTCAAGACTCACCGCGACGATGGGCTGAGGTTGGGAGCTGCTTATGATCTTCTGAGCTTCCGAGGTGACAATATGACCTCCGCCGACAACGGCCATCACTGACGGTGCAGCTGAAGTTACCGAAGCGGCCGCCGTCGAGGACGTTGACGTCGTCACCGACGCTGACGGATTTGTTGCTATGGCCGAAGTCGATGATGAAATCGGTGTCGTGGTCGCTGCGTTCCCGGATTGGAGCTGCGTGCCCTTGCTGAGGGCAGAGGCCGCGCTCGACGCGGACGTCGCAGTTGCACTCGCCGCGGTGCTGGACGGCTGCGACGAGGTGGTTGTCGAAGTTGTCGTGGACGCAGATGTTGTGCTCGCGTTGCCAGCTGCCTGCGCTGCTGCTAGTTTCGACTTTTCCTTCTTGATGCGTTCCTCCCGTTGTTTCGCGAGAACGATTGGGTTCAGTGGGTTATCGTAATTCAAACCATGGTCAGCCAGGACTGCCGCGTTTTTCACGTTTTGTCCTGCGGAAAATAATTCGTAGAAGCTCCAACGGCCGTGACTCGATCTTGATACGCGGTCTTTTAATTCTAGATAGAATTCAAACGAAAGAAACGAAGAGACACTAACTCTTACCATTGGACTGTGCCGTGTTAGTGAATACAGGCTTCATGGCCGGCGTACGGTGCACTGACACGGTTCTAATCGCATCGAAGCGACTGGTATACAAATTTGTGAACGACTGATTATTATCGGCGGCGAAGAGTAGAGCTGTTTTGATCGGGCGTCCTCCGCTCTTCTGTTTTAGAGCTTTCTTGACAGACTTCTTATCGTAAGCGACGATCGGAGCGTTAGGCCTGCCCTCTTCGCGGGGGGCCAGAACGTTTTCGAAACGGTTGCGGCACAGTTTCGGCGACCGATATACGCGCGACACCGTCGAATTTATATAATCCGAAAGGAGGTCTTGGTTCGGAGTGTGACCCGGCATCAGCACGGTCAGGGACAAGGGGAGCTCTTGCAACTGTTGGAACACCTGCGCAGCGGGGGGAAAAATCCACAAGTTAATGATGGCGGTCGATACGCTCCCCCTACGACTCGGTACCCGTCACCGATCGTTCTAGAGGTCTGATAACGCGTGATCGGACGACTTGCCTGAAGGAGTCCGTAGTCCTCGTTGACGGTCCATTCGACCTGGTTGGGTTCTGCTGTGGTTTGCGGTTCGTGCAGCTGCAGTTGCTGTTGCTGCTGCTTTCGCTGAACGGCGCCGACTTGACCAGGGAGCTGCGGCACCGAAGGTCCTAGAGACGGCACTGAAGGAGTTCCAGGTGCAGGTCTCTGACCAAGCAGTGAACCACCGTGACCCTGTCTTTTGAGCTTGAGCAGTCTCGCCTCCTTGCGCATTTTCACCAAGCCAGGAGACGGTCGGTCGAAAAGTGATTTCGGACCGCCGTGACTCTCGGAGCGTATGGCCTTCATCTTTCGAAGCAATGATGATTGATTCGCGTCCGTTCTCATTCTCTTCGAGGACGATTTCCTCACATAGACAGGAGGCAACGCCGTCTCTTCCATCGGTTTCGAGGCATAAAGGTATCGGGTCGTTTCATCGACATAGACATCGTCGTCTCCAGCGGGAGGCGTCGGTGGAGCCCAGAGCTGAGGAGAACGCCAACGTGTGAGAGAGTTCCCGCGGAAGGTTTCCCTATCGGCTCCCACCAGAGTGAGATCCCGAATTCGGAGCAGCAATACTCATGACTCATGACGATTCTCGTGATTTCAGACAGACTTTGATTCGGCCTGCTGTCCCGAATCTAGAAAAAATCCAATCGCCGATCCGGGGACTCCCGGTCTACCTAACTCAACAGCTTCTTGTCCTTACCGGTAGGGGTGTTTTGCAGTCCCTGAGACTCACAAATTTCTGAAAAGATGTTTTGCGACACTTGTTACAACGAGGTCTAGCGGTTCAGTTGCATCGCAATCGAGCCCTCATGCAATTGAGAATCTACTTCCCGCTTTTATCTACTGGCATTTTATGCATTTGCCTCGCCGATCAACGGACTAGATTTCCCTCCCTTTTTTCGACACCGAACTCGTCCGGCCCTAACTTCGGGTAGCCTGAGTTTTCAACGGACATGACGACATTCGTCGAAAAAATCTCGAAGAGTTTGAGAGATCGCTCACGTGGGCTTTTCTTAAATTCGTCATGAATTCGTCACGAATTCCTAACAGGCCGACCAGGCAAGTGTGGTACGCACCTTCCCTCGGTAGAAACTGCTCGAGGACTTTCTCGAATCGCTTGCATATGATCAGTTCGAGCTCATCCTCTTGATCGACCGTGCCCATTGATCCAGAATACATGCTCTCGAGATGAGTTCTGGCGTGAATAAGCGGACAGTCGGTCACGGTCGGTCGATTGGATGATTCGCTGACTGATTTGAAAGTCGCAGCACATATGCAAGCAAAGGGAGCTGACACAATTGCCTGGTCGTCCTGCAGTGACCACCGAAGAAAGAGAGTACACAAACACTTTCATAGGTCAAACGCTTTATTGACTGTTCTTAATAAGTATGTTCGATCGATCATTCTACGAACGGAACGCGGCCCTCCCGCAGACGTCACCATTTTCCCCAACGCGTCCACAGCAGACCAGAAAAGAGTTACCAAGTTGCACCACGCTCTCCTTGCGCACAGTCATCCATGGACAGAGCAAGAGACGAAATTATACGAGAAACGTCACCCCGCGATGAAATGTACAATACATACTGCGTTACGACCTGCGGAAGAGAAACCGCGCGACGTCCCACTCCCGAAACCACATGGAAGTCTTGCACCATGGACGCTCAGCCCACCCCGCACCGCTCGTGTCTCCCCTCAAAATGTTGTTTCGTTGATGTCACTAGGTGTTCAGATGCGTTCGTTTCTTCTATGTACAGAGCTGTTGACATCGACGGGCAATTTAAAAATTGATTGGTTCCGAGAAGAAAGTGTTCCTATTCTACCCGTTCAAGTCCGCTTTCACTGAGGGGAACTGTCACCATGTTCGGAGAAGTCAGTCTTTTCGTGTCTGTTTCAACCGACTTTGCTAGTGTATCGACGACATTAATAATTTGTTGTTGGTTTCTGTCACTGTGATAGATGCGATTGTATCCTTTGTCGTCGTCGTCCGTTACGACTTCTGTCTCAATTATTAATATGTAGTAGAAATAATAATAATAATATTTATAATAATGATGTTGTCGTGCTAGCTTTGTTGTGTTGATATCACTTTTTTGTATTCTTCCTAAGTGTGGACCTTTCCCTGCCGTGGGAGAGCCTGGTGACACCGCTACCACCACCACCGTTGTTATTAACCGTGTTGGAGGAGCTCCGCCTTGTGCGTTTTCGCGAATCGTCCGCACTCGACCTCATGGCCATTCGTGTAGTTTTTTCGTGTTTTCGTGTTGTTGAGGGCGATTTGTTATTATAACTGGTGTTGTTGCCATTGTTATTGTTGTTACTAATGGATTTTTGCGCGTTTCTACTAGCGGGCCCACTTGCGCTCCTGCCTCGTCTATAAGGGACAGATTTGCCATTTGACTTCACCTCTTCGGGGCTGTGAGGCCGTTTGTAGCTGAGTACCGGTGGAGGCTCACGGAGAGCTTCTTCCCGCTCTTTCTGGTGTTGAAGACTTTTGATCATCCATTCGCGCTTCTGGGCTTTGACTTCTTCCTGGAAAATCGAGTCCGGGGTTCCGTTTAGAAATCTGCTTCGATTTCGGGATTCGGGGGAGCCGCCTGAGTATTCCGACTGAACGGAATTCGGATCACGCCACGTCATAGGTATACGGGACGAAATGTCCCTTCTAAACGAGACTTAATGGTATTTGATACAACACTAGTGAATTATATTTTCTGTACTGTGGGCTGCGAGCATATCCTGGATCTGATTGTCCAAGCGAGCTTACTTGGGCTTGCTTTAGGTCGATGAAGTCATGCTGGGTTTCCAGGAATCTTAATGCGTATTTCTCGATGTTGTTGAGTTGACTCATCAGTTTGCGTTCTTCCTCGGTCTCCTCCAGAAGACTGCCCTTGTTGTCCTGCGAAAGTTGAGCCGGATATGCTTGAACGTCGCTCGAGGAATAGCATGGGGGATTCCCGTTCGACATTGCATTGATATGAGACGATGAGCATTGACAGGATATCATGATTCTGAACCAAACCTGGTAGGGTATGTTTTCGTCGAATTCTGCCAGTTCAGCCGAGACTTCGGCACGAGCCATTCGCGCCGCAGTGACATCTGTCTCCTCTTCAACCTGGACCAGAGTTCTTTCGAAATCTTCCTGCTCCCGCTTGAGGTCGGCAGCTGACATGGGCGCCTCATTGTCAACCTCCATTTTGACGGCAGGCTTTTCATCGAATATATCGTTGATGGTATTCTGTTCAGAGGAAAGCCATGCTATTAGACCGAGACAGCCACGAGAGGATGGGGAGGACGATTGGAAGGAGGGCGAATATGACTCACCGATCTGAAGAAGCTCGTTGTGAAGTTGCCTTCCTCGATGGCGAGCTCTCCGAGCATTCGTTTCTGGTTGGCTTTGCGCAAAATGTTCTCCTCGATCGTTCGTTCACTGACGAGTCGGTAGATGTGCACATCGCGCGTCTGACCGATACGATGACATCGGTCCTGAGCTTGGGCGTCCATCGTTGGGTTCCAGTCAGAATCGTAGAAAACGACCGTGTCCGCTCCCGTCAAATTCAAACCGACACCACCGGATCTCGTCGACAGGATAAAGCAGAACACCCGCTTATCCGAGTTGAAACGTTCGACGAGGACCTGTCGCTGTTCGATGCCCGTGGCTCCGTCCAGCCGAAGGTAGGTGTGCCCGTGCATCGTGAGGAACTCTTCGAGAACGTCCAGCATACGCGCCATCTGGGTGAAGATCAGAACGCGATGCTGACCGGATTTGAGCTGGACGAGAAGTTTGTCGAGAGTTTGCAGCTTGCCGCAATCGAACTGGATGAGTCGTCGATCCGGAAACTGGGTCGTCAGCTGAAGGTCGATTTTCGAGAGGAGATCAAATTTGGGTTTCAGCTCGGAGTTGAGCCTCGCTTCGAGCGAATGCCACTGGTTGACGACATGCGGTGGTGGATGCGAGGCGTGCATGGAGATTCGAGGGGCGCTAACTCTTGGGTGCAAGCATAGGAACTCTTTCCACTCCAACTCGTACTCGCTCCAAAGACTTTCCGGCGTGGGAACGAGGCTCCTCAAAGCGTTCGTGTCACTCCACCAAGAAGTATGCGAGTGGATGTTCCGAGTGTACAGGTGTCTGCAATTCCGAAGAAAAGTTCCGATAAGTCCGATAACCCGTCGTCGGTGATCGATCGTCTCTCCGAGAACTCGCTTGTCAGGGATCGTCTGTGAGCGATTAGAGAAATGTAGAATTCAAAGAGAACTCACCCCACACCAGTGCCGTACGCGCTTCTGTGGATAGCGTCCGCTGGCACTTCGTCGGGATAGGGAGTTTGGAGCGGAGCCACTCGCTTCGGAGGCGGAGGAGGCACCCTATCTTCGAGGTTCATGACGGATACGGCTTCGATCAGGTCCTGTCCGTAGACGGGTCCTGAAGCGCATCGCATGTTGTTGACCCGACCCAGAAGCTTAAGCTTGTTTCGATAAGCGATTCTTCTTTTCTTGTCCAGGTTCTCATCGAAGAACATTGGGTTACTGGTCTCTTGGGCGGCAGGCGGTCTCCGAGCCTGCATGGCTGATAGAGCAGAAATTCCCGGCGGTCGTGGAGTTCCGGACGAGAGGGAACTCATGGCTGTGATGCTCCGGGGCGGAGTACCCGCTGTAACCGGTGTTGAGGGCGGGCGGGTCTGGACAGTCTGTGGGAACACGCCCACGGAACTTCCTGTTTAGGGAAAGGAACGGACGTCTTAGACTCGGGCAAACTCCGACAAAAATGAGATATTATCATTCTCATTTTCGGACGAAAAAATGACGTTATAATTATTAATTAATAATTATAATTATAAAGCCATAACTACCTAGTGATTATAAGGTTATAATCAAAGCTCATAAATAGTAACTGTACGATCATTATTAATCATAACGTCTATACCTATTTTGATCATCTGAGGGCATGATAATGTTACTTTTACTGCCATACGATTATAACTAATATAAATATAATCACTCTTCTCCCACTTGACGAAGTTTCAGGAGCGGAAAACCGCACTTCAATATCCCGTTAACTTACCCACAGTCGTGACGACGGGTCTATGAGGACTGAGCAAACTTTGTGGACGCTGTGGACTATTTAGTTGACCTTGATTTTGAACGGGCATTCGAACCAGTCCGGGCCGGATCGCCGTGGTCACCTGTTGGGAACTGCCTGCCTGGTTCGTTGGTTGAGGAGCGGCCGTAGTGAACAGTATGTGTTGCCCAGTCGAAGCTTGAACCAAACGCTGGAGGGCCGCTGAGGTTGAGCGCGACACTCCCGTTTGCTGCACGTGCAGAGTCACGGGGGGGTGAGGCTGACCTGCTGCCTGACCCGCTTGCGCTGGGGGGGAAAATTTGAAATCCGCCTTAATCTCACTGAGTCCACAGGGATCGACACCCGTGAGAGGACACTCGTTCTTGGGAGTTAAGCCGTGCTCGACAATTGGCGCGAAATACCCCGACGATGCGGGAACTCGAGAGGGACTCACCTTTCTGCACGAGCTGGAATGTCACTTGCTGCGGGGGGTTCCCAACTGCTCCCTCCGGCCGCTGGCCTAACATAACGAGACGTTGGGGTGGTCCTTGGGGTGAAGCACCCCTAAGGTGACCGCCGACGACGCCCCTGCTTGGCGCCGCTTGTCCAAGGGCCGCTTGTCTAGGCACTTGTTGTGTTGCCGACGGTGGTCCTGCGGTACGAATGTGAAGTCTGATCTTGCCACTGGGGCATCGAGGTGGGGGCTGCGGATGGCTCTCGGCGCTCTCAATGAATTGAGGGCTTGTTTGGAACTTCTTGATGCGATGTGCTGCGAACGCTGTCAGCACGAGTTCGAGATCGGCAAGGTGTAGATTATATGAACAGAAGAGACTTTTCAAAGGATTCTCCATGCGAAGCACGAGCGACGGCACGTGATACACGAATTGCTCCATTCGGAAAGGCGACGATACCGGATTGGGCTCGAACAGTGCGGGATGGTTGCAGACTTTCCGCAGCTGCATCAGAACGTTCAAAACACTCAAGAGCTTACCAGAAGCGAGTGTCTCTTTGGTCTTGGCTTGCGACATGAAATCATCGTAGAGAAATCGCTGCCGTTTCGATAGCCGACACATCAGTATGTGCTCGTACTTCTGCGGCATCTGACGTTCGACTTCGCTCTTCAATCGTCGAAGCAGGAACGGACGCAGTACCCTGTGAAGTCGCTTAACCAAGGCTTCGTTGTATTCGCTTGAGCCCTCAACCATTCCAGTCAGTGGGTTGGAGAACCACTCCCGAAACTCTTTGTGAGATTCAAATAAATGCGGCATCAGAAAGTGCATTAACGACCACAGTTCCATCAACGTATTTTGTAAAGGTGTGCCTGTCAGTAACAGTCTTCGTTCGGCTTGGAAATTCAATAGAAGCTGCCATCTTTGGCTCTTGAAGTTTTTTATGTTCTGCGCCTCATCCAAAATTAGGTAGTACCACTGCTTGCGTCTGAACGCCGAATGGTCCTGCACCACCAGTTTGTACGAGGTGATACAGACGTGGAACGCGTTCTTTTTCGTCCAGCCGATTCGTTTCTGTTTGCGCTCCTTCATCGATCCGTAGTAGGTGAGAATTTTGAAGCCGGGACACCATTTCTTGAATTCCATCTCCCAATTGAGCATCACCGATGTGGGCACCACGACCAGATGAGGTCCCCAGACTCCTTTCTCAACTGCCAGATGGGCCAGCAGAGCGATGGTTTGGATCGTTTTACCCAGACCCATTTCATCAGCGAGGATTCCGTTGAGTTTCTGATCGCACATCGCCACCAGCCAATCGAGTCCGACGTGCTGGTACTCTCGAAGGCTGTGCTTCAACAGGAACGGCACGGGAGTGATGACTTGCGCCGTGGCCAGGTCCAAACCCTTCGGCTGGAAACGTTCCGCGACGGCAGTGATGCCGTTCAGGTCGTCGTCGCCGCCGCCTCCGCCACTGCCAGAGCCGCTGCTGCTGCCGTGATTGTTCGGGGGAGTGTTCTCCTGGGTAGCGTCGTCGTCTTCCATGTTGTTGCTGGCCTCTTGGGTCGCGTCGTCGTCTTCTTCGACGACGAGGCTTTTGAGTTTTTTCTTGTCGTCCTGCGCGTCGTCCTCTCCGGTCGAGAGCGCTTCGCCACCCGCACCGTTCTCGTCCTCGTCGTCATCGCTACCACTGCTGTCGTCCTCGTCGTCTTCGTCCATGTCTTCGTCGTTCGACTCGAGACTGCTAGACGTCCCGCTTCGGAGTTTAGGACACTGAGGCTCGGAATAATACTTGGCCATAAGTTCTTCGACTGAAAGCCCGTTGTCTTCTTCGAGTTCGTTGAGTTCTCGCTTGTGATCGATTTTCTTGTTCAGTTTCTCCTCTTTGGCAATGGTCTCCTCGTCGTCTTCCTCCGACGTGTACTCCACGAAATCGTTGTCCATGTCCTGGACGTCCGACATCGTGTCTGTAACGGACGGCGTGTCGCCTCCGGCGAGCTTGTCTCGGATCTGGTGCGAGAACTTTTCCGTGCGGTCGACGAGGAGGTTAAGCTGTAGATCGAGCGCTTCTTTACGCGTCGCATCGAGTTTCGACTGGATCCGGAAGTCGAGCAGTTTCTCGGCGTTCGCCCAGAACGCCTTGACGTCTTTAGCGATGGTGGCGGCAAGTTTGCGGATGCGGAGATGTTCGTCGCGCTCGGCCCGCTGCGCGCGGATCTCCTTCTCCTGGTGGAATTTCTGGCACATTTTCGCGCACTTGCGAGCCGCTGCTTTCTTCGATTTGCGTTCTTGTGCAAAGTCGTTGCTCATCCATTTCATTTCTTCGAGCAAGTAGTCCCACTGGGTTTTAACGCGGGACGGCTCCTGCACTTTCGGCAATCGTTGCTGCGTCCACATGCCGGCCTTACGCAGCGTGCCAACCCGCTGGAGGACGTGAGCCTCTTGCTTGGCCCTCTCCGCCAACTCATCGCTTCGCGACAAGGTCGGTGGGGACGTCCTCCCGGACTCGGCCGATGCAGAACCGCTCGACGCCGTTCCTAATGCTGCTCGCGCACTGGCCGCTGACAACGTGTTCGAGGAAGCGCCCGACAAGGCCACCGCAGCCGGGGACACAGAACCCGCAGGTGCAGTCGCGGCAGGTGTTGAAGCTGCCTGAGGAGGAACTGGAGGAGGTGCAAGGGGAGGTCTGATCGAAGGGGAACCCGGCAGCTGCGAAGAGATATTCGTTGCGCCAGCTGCCGAGGAGTGGGTTGATGATGATGATGATAACAATGTACAAGATGGTGAGGCAGCGCTTGGAGGAGTGTTCGTGTTCCGGTCTTTGGGACCGTAGACGCGATCGAGATAGTCGTCGGTTCCAGCAAGCTGTTTCGTGTGCATGTATTGAAGTAAACCCGGTGGGGGTTTTCGACGCCAATTGAACAAGTCCATGAAATGACCCCCATTCTGAAGGAAAAACAGTTCGCTAAGCTGTTCGTAGTATTTTTCCCGATTGCTGATGAGACTAGCCGTCTTGATTTCGATTAGACGTCGTCTTTTGGCGGGAATATCAAGATCCTTCGCAATGAGGGCGGGCCGTTTCGTGCGGGGAGCCGCCGGATCTTCTGGGGCTTTATCGGATGCGCGGAGCACATTCTTGTCGACGGTGCTGCAAGCGCCGCTCCCACCGTTACTGTTCACGCCGGCCAACGGGCCACTGGTGGAATTCGACGTTACTTGAGTTCGCAGCGATGGACCTTTGGTGAAATGTTGGTAGCGGTTCGCTGACGGACGATTCGTCTGATCCGTCGCTTGGTTCTGATGAGGCGTTTGATGGGAGGGTTGCTGTAGAATTTGTTGACGTTTTTCGTCCTTTTCGATTGATTCACGCTCTATACGAATTTGGTTACGGTGGAATGCACCTTGCTGCTGCGACTGAACTTGCGGTTGTTGGACCGATCCCGTGGAATTTTGTGATGGCGGTAGACCCGGTTGATTTACACTGATTGGAAGAGATGAATTATCGCCTCGACGGTTGCTGCTCGGGTGAGAGCGGTCGACAACAACGACGCTGTCGCTACCTGGCTTCTGTTGTTTTGTTGAATTCGCCTCGGTAGCATCGCAGCTCATTGCAGGTGATATCTGCAAGTCGGGAAAAAAATGACGCTTATTTACAACCCGCCTCAAGCATCCATCCGGAATTCAAATCCATTCCGATGCAACAGCGAGGTGACAGCAGGAGTTGCGGGAGATCGGCGGAAAAGCGGCAAAAAGACACACAGCGCCGGAATTTCCGGCGCGAACTCAGGTATGAACTCCCCTTCCAGCCGACGCGACCCCGATAAGGTGTCGGGAGAGCAGATACCGACTCCCCGTCTCGATATCGCCGAGGACTTCAAGGTATCGAGCGTTCTACTGAAGAAATAGAGTACAGTCCCGGGCGCGTATGCACCGTAAACTAATGGGCTCCCGTCAGGCAGGACGCCGGCGGGCGTTGGGGCGCGAATCGCCCGCAAGGCTCATTTGTCTGCTCCCTAGATGCGATCGAGAGGAGGAAGGGTCTCTCGGGAGATTGACTGCTGTTAGTGGAGGACGTGGAGAGGGCGTTGAGATCGGGAACTGATCCGGGAGCATAGGACTCTGAGTTTGAGATTTTTCAGACAATATTTCCTAACGGGCTGCTCCAGCGAGAATCAATCGGAGCCGCCAAGCGACGGGAGCTCGAGCTGCTCATGACACGAGGAATCGTTTTCAGAAGTGAAGAAGGTCCTGTTTCAGAACGTCCACAGGAAATCACCATCCGGAGAGAAATAGAACCCGGATGCCAAGAACGAATCAAAAAACGGAGAAGGAACCGACCGTTCAGATCAATGCACATGAACATCCGAAGGCATTCCTGACATATGTGCATCGCAGTTGTTTCCATAGGGGAAAGTACCGGACTTCGCGTACAGTAAAGAGTCACACAGGACCAACGAACGGATCGGGCATAATTGATCGATAGAGCTCTCATGAACCTTTTTTACTGTAGATCTATCCAACTCGGCGCTTGCAGACCTCCCTTCGACTTTCGGATGAGTACCCCCACGTTCACTGTCCATCAAGATACCGTGATTCAACGAAAGACCGACGAGTTGTCTCAGAATTCACGAATCAGTCTTCGATATTCATTATTGGCTTCTCTAGATTCTTTCTCCGGCGGTGAATTTCACAAAATCATCGATAGCAGGCCAACAGCAGATCCCCCGAAGCTGCTTCCCAAACACTAGATGCAAACACCGGGGCCGGTTGATGCCGTGATCGGAGCCGAGCCTGTCCTTGCGTCGGACTCTATGCGGAGCAGAACGATCTCAAACTCGAAGCCGATATAAGAATCCGTATCCATGAAAGCGAAGCGCTAAAACCCACTAAAACAAGCCAGAGTTTCAAATCGCTCCGCCCAAAGCGTCCAGATTCCAATCGGGCGTAAACGCCAGCGAACGCCAACTCGATCACTGCTTTCGCTTGTTTCGTGTGTATCGGCACGAATTGAGCAGTCGAAGCACTATTTGTTCACTCACAGCAGCGATTCCACAAACACACTGCAAATTATTTTTGCGTAAACAACATCAACCGACCGACTAATGAACGCTTCGATACACCCTTGGATGGAGGGATAAGTGAGTGGATAAATGAGAGAGGTTCGAACAACAACACGTACGAACGTCCATCAGCACTCGTGAAAACGTCGACACACCGCGACACGAATCGAGATGGTCGTTCATTGAAGATGTACACCTAACCACGCGGTCAATCGCGGGCTAGAAAAATCATCACCACTCCGAAAACAACAACACGAAATGATTCACGTACGTTCGACATGGCCGCATGTGGGCCTGCAGTGCACGTCTTCCGTGCCGCAACACCGCATGAAGAACCTTGTTCAGCAGGACGCTGTCTGCGGCATCTATATCATGGCTTCCTTCCCAGCTCGTTCGGTTGAGGTCGGTCAGTCGCTCAATCGGACGGACGGATGCTCGGTGTGTCGCTTTCACGAACGATCGTTGAATCGTCCGCTCGGTTTCTTGTTTGCGTCTTTGATTGGTCGGTCGTTTCTCGTCGAGATCTCTCTACACGGCAGCTAGAATTCGCCGTTTTAGTGGCGCTTCGAGCCGTTGTTGTCGTCGACTCGTTCTTTCGGGTCGCCTCGACGAGATGAGCGTACTTCGCTGTTTAGCGGGCTCGTAAACAAGTCGCCAAAATGGCGTCCGGAGACACGTTGTGAGCCCGCTGAATCAGATGACTGCGCCCCCTGCCGTATTGATGTCCCGTTGTTCAGCAAACGAGAAAAGCGGTGCTGGCGAACTCAAATGCAAAGGAAATATGGTCCTCGAATCTTCCCGTGTCCTTCCACTCTATTGTCCAGCGGTCCGACCTCTCCACGAGTCTTCCGCGTTGCGCGAGCGATCGAAAGCTACGGATGCGGATGCGCGCGGTGACCGCTGCTCTGGCGGATATTGTACTAGCGTAGCGGCGCCTTGGCGCCTTTGCCGAGCGCCGAACGGCGGCGATCCCAGACACGACAAGCGAGCGAGCATATCGTGGGCCAACTCCGGCGAACAACGGGTCGTCCATTCGATCGCGAAGCAATATGGCGGACAGCCGGTTCGCTTGCTGCATCAGCGGCCCTACCGCGGCTAGTCAAGTAGCATTCTCCGCTGTAGAGACTGGGTTTACTTGGCGCGGAATTCAAATTCCTTGAATGTAAACAATGGACTTTCGATGGCTCTTAAACAGAGGCTCGAAAAAACATCTTACTCTCCGACAAGAAGAGGCGGCTTTGCAAGTCCGAGAATTATCGGACCTCCCTCCACATCCACAGAGCATGGGGCGTGGAGCCCTATGCGAGAGAGTTCGGTAACCTCATTCCGGGGATTCCTTATTCTCCTATGGCTGGTTGAGCGGACAAAATTCCTATAATATCCGGAATCCTCGTTTCGAAGATTCTCGGACTCGAATTCCTCCATGGCTGAGCGGGGAGAAGCCCGATAATGTCCAGAATCCCTATTCCGAAGATCCTCGGAATCGAATTCCTCTGCGGTTATGCGGGCAGAGCTTCGATAATGCTGGGATTTCTCACTCCGGAGATTCTCGGAATCGGATTCCCCTGGGGCTGGCTGAGCGGAATAGTTTCCGGAATCCTTATTCCGAGGATTCTCGGAATCGGTTTCCTCTATGGCTAATCGTAAGCGGACAGAAGTCCTATAATGTCCGGATTCCTCATTCCGAAGATTCTCGGAATCGAATCCCTGTGTTGCTGAGCGGGCAGTAGTCGAATAATGTCCGGATTCCCTATTCTCGTTCCTAGTTGAATCGAGCCGCGATCATCCTGCCAGTCAAAACTACCGGAGCTGGACGTATGCTGCAATCATAATTTTTGAGCTAGGATGCGTAGTTCTCGAGTATTATGATCTCCAGCCTATATTATGGCCTATTTGACCCAGGTTAGCATCAAATCTTCAGGTCGTCTCTTGCCTCCTCTAGATTTTCGGAGCAAGGGTTGCGTCACTTCCTGGTGCATCATGCTCCAAGACTTCGCGAATTCTCGTCGCTAGTTGTAGTGACCACATCGGTGCCGCAAAAGGAAGGAGACACTCCTTTGTGTCTTTGTTGCTGAATCATATCATCTCGCCTATTTATTGATCATCCGAGGGTACGAAAATCTTTCTCGAATTTTCTTGATATCGGTCTGGGCAGTTCGATGGACCTTCATTGAACTCTTTTCTCGATCCCAATGGAACAGTCAGCCTTGCTCCGAGTCATGATGAAAACTTCCTCCGAGGAGTTTAGGGAGTAGTCGATGGTGTCCAGGGTCGGACCTACGCATGAACCGTCGTCCACGTAGAGTACGAACAAGAGTCTGTCGTAGAATGAGGGCCGGCTCGAGAGAACATTCGAAGGAAGAGTTCACCCCCCGAAATATCGCGCTTAATTTCCCCACGGAGATACGGAGAGCTGCTCCCCGTAATTCCTCAAAGGCGCTCCGTGCATGCGGAATAGCCAGGCTGTGAGCTGTTCCAACTGAATACCGGATTTGAATGAGATAGGTCCGCTTCGAGACAATTCTTAGAGGCGCGCATTGTCTTCGATTCGCGACGCGCTGACTCGATATTACATCCACCAGGAATGTCTCACGAGCAACCTCGTCGTACACAATGTACGACCTCGGGTTCTCCGAGCTCGTATTTCATCGGTCAAGTGGCCTCTGGGAGTAAGAAAAAAAGTGAAACGCATAAGCTGCACCCTTCTCGAAAGACACGTCTCCACAAAGTCCAGGAGTATCGAGTCACACAGGCCACTGGGTACTTGACCTTCCCGTCTGGAGGAATCGGAAACTGTTGTGCTAGAAGGGTTTTTATTTCAGAGCGTATTCGGTGGAAAGATATTACCCATACTTCTCGTTTTCCTCGATGTCTCCCGGAGGTAAGCACCTCCTGGCGGACTTTATTTCGGTTTCGACAGGAACTCTTGTAGATTCGTCATCTCGTAGAGCCTCCACTCCTCGGTCGTTGTCAAATCCAGAGATCCCAGGTCTTTCAAAGCGGCTGCCAGCTGCGGATCTGACGTGTGGGCATCCACTCTCGAGCACTTCTCCGCGGAGGCAACCTGGGAAAGAACGATTCTCAACAGGACGATGAGCGTTTCTCGCGAACGGACCTGTGTTGGAGAATGTCGCAACCTTCCCTGACCGGAATGTCTCGGATTTGAGTCGAAGGTTTCACTCACGTCAATGAGCGCCACGAGTAGCTGCTTCAAGACAGTAGCATCCGGTGCGCGAACAGTGTTGACGGCCATCGATCGATCCTCCCATGTGGAATACGTCCTGGAAGTTCATAATCGTCTCCTGAGGCCAGTGGTCTACTCTATCCGCGGTATCAGCGCAGTTGGAACGATTGCCGACACTGATACTCATTACTCATTATACTCTCTGACTGAGGAGAGATAGGAGATGGAACATCTAGAAGAAATTGTTGGCGGTGCCGTCTCGTTCCGAATTCGGGTCACGAGTGGCCCCGACTAAGCAACAGTCAGATTAGAGCTCGGAAAGCGAGGTTCTTCTTCCCGAGCCAGGACAAGCTCTCTCCGTCGTCATCTGTTCACGTTTCGGATCAGAAGCTTGAGTCCAATATAAGACAGTAGTCTCTTGGACAGTATGAACATCAAGATTCACTCGCCGGGAGTCGTGTGAATTATCGATTGAGTGAAAATTAATATGCGTCTCGGCTCGGTAGGCGAGAAACTTCACGGATTCTTCACGAACCTCGAGAACGATAGAGCTCCGACGATGGCATCGTTTTCATCGAGCGCGACCAGCGTATTGCCGAAGAATTCCATGACGCTGCGACCCAAGAACTTACTCAAATTCGGCAAGTCCTCAGGCACCAGCTTGCGAATGGTGGCTGGCATGCTTATGCGACAACAGGGAGTTCCTCCGCGCCGGGCCAAGGGCGTCCCCTGGATCCTTCGGAGTTCTAAGTCTCCCTGAGAAATTCGTCGCCGCCGATTGGAGTGCGGCAGATTCTCGCAATCCACTCCACGGTCGAGCGAATGTCGATCGATCACTCTGCAAAACAAAGGGGCTTGAACTTATAGGACTTGGAGGGTGGGAATTAAATCCTATGAGGACAAGGGAGCGAGGCCGTGGGGCAAAGTCGCCGAGAGTTTGACTTCTTGTGACTAGAGGATCGCCTTTAGGATCTTCCGTGAACTAGGTAGGAGTTCTCGCCGGCGCTTCCGCGATCAGAATCCCGGGAGAAACCAGAATCAGCTCGACCGATAACCAGATGCCCAGATGATTGATGACAATTAATGATCTGAGTGATTTCTTGCAATGTCATCGGAGATTGTCAATCAGGTCACCGGGATGGAAGCCCACAGAGCGTTTCCGGCAGTTTTCCTCCACGAACCCTCTATTCCAGTGTCAGCGAGAACTCTTCGAGAATGTGTAGCTTCTGGTCGAGCAAAGATGTATGGATATGATCAACGCACTCATGAAACCGAGGAAGGTCCCGGTCGGACAAGGAAGCTGTCATACTTCCGTCTGAACGCATGCATTCTGAGTCATCTCCGTCTTCGCCGATGAGAGGCTTTTCATTCACCGAAACCGAATCCACTTCTCCCTTCCCCGGAATCACCGTCGTTCAATACGTGCTTATCCGCTAAGATCTTGCCTCCGCAAAATACTGCGGGTTCTCAGCTAAACGAGCGAAAAATAATCTGTTGCATTATTCTTTAGGAATTGCGAGAGCTTTTCGGATCTATGGAGTCCCATCGCGAGCTAAGACTGAGGTGTTTCCAGAAAACCCTCTCTCTCTCTTAGATGACTAAGATGGGAGTTCGGGGGAAACCATTACTAGCTTACGTCAGATGTGTCCGTTGAACTTGTTCTGAAATTCCCGAAATTTCCATTGACCGAACCGATGAATGAGCCGAGAAAGTAGGTGTAAAGCTTCACGAGCCTGGCCATTCTCGACCGAATCGAGGATAGAGCGGATTCCGTTCGAGTCCCTTCCAATTTGGCAACAAGTACAGTTTATTCTCCCGAACCGTTTCCACAAGAGGAAATCCCGCATTGTAGAGGCAGGACCAAAAGATAAACTCTCAACTAAGCACCTAATTTGGAAGCCAAGAGCAGTACATTCGAACATTTTTCTAGAGTCTACGCTTGCTCGACTTCGAGAAGCCGAATGATCGGTGGAGAGCGGGGAGGAATTGACGCGAATTCCTTGTCACAGCTTCCCGATGCTCGAGCAAGCCCAGTGACCTCGTCAATACTTATCTTGTCTTAAGTCTACTTAATCAATTATTATTGGCCCCGGAGAGTCTCCCGGAAACAAGCATCGAGTTGCGCTCCGTGCATTCCTTCCGAGAGCGGTCGATCGATCGTCACGACACGATTGCCATACTTTTCGGAGTCGTGGTTGTCAGAGCTGAAGGTTGAAATCAAAATGAAGTCTATACTCGCGCTGTCTGACCGTCGTGTTTTTCGTCTCACAGTTGATGCCTCTTTCCCACTTATGCAACTTATTGTTGTACAGTGATGGAGACCCTTTCTTCTGGGCTCATTCTGTTCATTTTTATGTGCTTGCCAAGTGACCGAGAGAGCTACCGAAAACTGACAGTTCCAACAACTTACAATCAGAGAAAGTCTGAAGAAGCACCGCCGCTCCCTGAGAGACCGAGGCATGTGCATCTTCAAATCCGATTACGAGCATCTGCTACAAACTCGATGTTGGTGATGGGATTCCGCACGCTCTCGACGGTGATGTTCTCATTTTCACGGGCGTCTGAATACAGGATTTCGCTGGATCCGGAGTACTGGTGATCCTTCTCCGGACCCCGGTTCGGCCCGAAGCCCGAAGGCTTTTCTTGGTTCCTCCCCGCTCTTCGGACGGAGGAGAAATCGCTAAGTAGAACCTGGCTCCAGTCGTGCGATTCTCTGGGCATTTCGTCCTCCCTTCCCTCGTATCGAGCTCAGATTCACGAAAAGCCAATCTTCAGTCTGGAATGCTTCGGCTGAGTATGGAGAATGTCCCTCTGACGAGGAAAAGCATTCTCCTGGAAACGATTTGACCCTGGAAGCTTATCCGAAGACTGTGTCGGAACCGGAAGCTCATCCGAGCCATGCTTCCAGAGTCTCTCGACTCCTTACAAGGAAAAGCACCTGGGGCTTGCCCAACGGGTCGCAGAAGAGAACTTTTCCACATTCTGTGACCCTTTCCGAACGACGGAAAGCCCGTCAGTGGTCAGTCGGCGAGCCAGCTCGAAAGTCTGGCTCTTGCCGGATGGCGCTTTCCCTCCACCAATCGTTCTGCTATAAAACCCTCGGAGAGACTGGAAGTTCGCGTCGGTATGAGATCGTTAACTCTCGCGTTTTTCTTGGTGGCGTTGTGGGCCCACGTACGAGGGCAAGCAAGTGTTGTCATCCAATACCTCGAGATCCCGCAGTTCCGCAATGAGATCATCGTGTACCCCCGCTTCATATTGACGCCCGACGGACGGAGACTGCTGCAAGTGACTGACGATTTCAACTTGAACCTCGATCCGACCAATGTGTTCCCCCCTCAAATTCTCGTCAGGACGTTCGATTCGCTCGGCAACCCGATCGACGAGAACATGGACACCAAAGACATATCGGACGGAATCTATTTCGATCCGAAAAACGGCGCCTCGATCCAGATGAATAAGCCCAAAGTCGTTGGAGGCTTGCCGGAGTTCGTCGGCGTTCTCAGTAATGGGCTCAGGATCGTCCCGGTGACTGGTCGAAACTCGAGGAACGGAGCGATGCCGCATAGAGTATTCCGCTACAAGGATCGTCAGTCGCACGAGCACGATTTCGTGCTGCCGTTGAACTTGTCCATTTTCAATCCGTTCGGCACGAGCGGCGTCTACCCTGGTCTGGAAACAGCCCCCTTCAAGATACGCCCCGAAGTCATGATGGTATCCGATACCGCGCACAGTTCGAAATTCTCTTCGAAAACAGAACTGCTCCGGTACATCGGCACGTTTATGAACGCCGTTAACCTCCGATACCGCAGCGTCAGCGGGATGGATTTGCAGTTGAAATTGGCGGGTGTCGTGATAAATAACGTGGAGAACGAGCCCTACGTGCGCGGATACGGAGGTCACGTAATCGCGGACCAAACGCTCGCCGGTTTCGCCCAATACATCAACTCAGGCGGCATTCCGAGTGAATTCGATTTGGCTTATCTGATGACGGGTCGCGATATGGCTGCCGTGGACCCGTTCTACGGCTTGCATCCCGGAGTCGCGGGTCTCGCCTATGTCGGCGGCGCGTGTACCCCGCAACGTACTGGAATGGGCGAGGATTTGGCGGGTTCGTACGACGGGGTCCATGTTGCGGCGCATGAGATCGCGCACTTGTTGGGCTGTGTTCACGACGGTGATCCCGCACCCTTCTATCTGTCGGGAAGTCCCGGTGCCCGAGAATGCCCATGGGATCACGGGTTCATCATGAGCTACAAAGACGGAGGGAGTAACCGATACAAGTTCTCTCAATGTTGTGTGAATTCGATGAAGTATCTCGTGAGGAACCCGGGTCATCACTGCTTGAGACACGAAGCCACGCTCCCCGACCCGGTCCCGAGCGCCCCGATCAAGCCCGTGGCTCCGATCCCCCTCGACACACCCGCGAGCAACACTAGATCGGTGAACTCTTTGACTCTGCCGCAGAGCCCAACTCGGATCTCGTCGTTCCTGCCGTCCGTGCCGGAATTCCCGAGCACCTTCCACTTCCCAGGTCTGAACAGCATCCAGAAACCGCAGACGCCTGCATTGCGGATCGACCGCAGCTTGCTGTTGAACAACAACCTGCCCGGAGAGAAGGTATCGCCTAGCCAGTACTGCAAGCAGAAGTATCCGCAAATAAAAAATGTCTGGAGCGATGGGAGCATCAGCGAACTAGGAAAATGCAAAATCAGATGTGCCTACCCTCCCAGATCCGATGGACTTTACTTGTATCATGTGACTAATGCTCTCGACGGAACTTCGTGCGGCTCTGGCAGACGGTGCATAAACGGAGCCTGCATATAGAGAAGCGGCGTAGTGTATATACCTTAAGGCCCGGGGACCCCTCTGTCAACATTTCCCGCATGGTAATCGCGAATTTTCTTCCCCTGTACATTTCTGTTACCCGAGCTATCGACGAAGATAGCAAGCAATGTTTGCCTGACGCACATCATCACCTCCAGGTTCAGGAACGCCATCGGTATGATTGAATAAATTCATTGGAGCCTCCTGAATTCGCCTCTTCCTGAATCCAAATCTTAACAGTGCTGCGGAGCAAGAAGTCGACAGAATCGCTCAATGCAACCTCTCATCGACGTTTTCTTCCGCCAGGCTCGTTCGCTCGCTCTCCGTCCCTCTGCTTCTCGGAGCGGATTCTGGATAATGAGATCAGGCATCTTCAGCTGCGAGTTATGAGACTCGAGTTTTCAGGTTCAAACTTATATAATCTCGCCTACGTGCCTCGAATGAATATCGACTTCGATAAACAGGTCGAATGCGAGAGTCCGTGATTACATATCGAGAGCTCTGCATCACGCCGCTTGTTTTCAGCTCTTCGATCGGAGCGATCCCCAACTCTTCATCGTCGGAGATATGGAATCGCGATTTACGGAGTCGAGTGCGGTCCAATCCTCAAGTACCTAGCATAGCCTTGTGATCACCACTCACGCAACTCCGAACGCCGACATGATTCCAGATAGCCGGGACTCGACTGCTGAATAACATCTCGGCAATAATAATCTTGGCAGGCTCCAACCACCTCATTACATTGGAGAAAAACGACAGGAGTCAATCTTTAATAACCTCCGTATCATCACCCTGAAAAGCGTGATTATGAAGTCGAGGGCGCGTTGCCAGGAATCAATCCCATTGTGCCGCGGGTGAATTGGTGTTTTTTATTCGTTGGGCTTCAAGCGTATGTACACGTTCTGTATGGAGGAAGCTTCCTTTCCGCCGTTTATTCTGAACAGAATTGGCCGAACTCTCTCTGGAAGCAGATGAGCGAGCTTCGATTCTGAACAATTTCTAACTGCAACAAAGCTGACTAACCATGATTTCGTGTCATTACCCGTTTGTTTTTCCCTCGTTTGTTTTCGATCGTCAATCTCGCAATCACGAGCACGAGGCCGTCCGCAAGGCTGGTGGAAATTCAGCCATAGAGACCATTTTGGCTCCACTCCCGTGCCGCAGACACGAACCGTACCAGAGCTTGGATCATCGACAAGCCCTGATCCCAGGCAGGTACAATGAGTCAGGTTTCCTGAACTCACCTATATCCAGCCGTAGGGCTCAGGAGGATCCAGAATCGTGGAATGAGCGTAGGATCATGGACTGGCGTCACTTTTGAGCACGAATATTGCGGCGTTGTTGTCGCTAGGAGTGATGTCGTTCTCTCCCTTGCTCCCAGCTGGTCTCCCTCCTCTTCGACCAATGTTTGTTATCATCTGTCGAGAGCGTCCATCGAGATACCAGCGTTCCTGCCACGAGGGACACGAGAATCTAGCGCATCCAGCGACTCACGAAGCGGTTCATCAGGGTAGCGATTCGCGCGAGGGAAGGAGCTCAGATTATATGAGTCTTATTGTAGCCGAAAATCAATAGATTATTTATAATACTCTCAGATGAGCAGCTCGATCGAGCGCGACATCTCCGAGCCGGAAATTTAATTGCCATTGGGCCCGAAGCTTTCATGCCTGGAATATGTCCGAGCAGAAGACACTTTTGCCGAACAGATTAGACTGAAGGGCATGTCCGCCTATCTTTCGACCCTTCAAAACGGTTATTCGAAGCCACTAAATCTGATGAGGTATGTTCTCGTATTGCTACCTGTCTGTCAGGATCAATCGCGAGGGACGGAGTCCTCCGACTTGAACATCGTGAGGGGACCTGGTGACCGTTCTACGTCATGCTAATAGTTGGCAGACGTCACTCCATTCGATGATTACTCAGAAAGTGCACTATGGTTTTGCTCGAAACCTCGAGCAATTCCATATGATTACGTCCGATATTCTGTCTCCGATTGATGTTTTGCTTCTGATGGAGTATTGAAGTGCTAATAATAACTTCGAGACGGTGCGGTGTATTATTGCCCCGCCCTCTCGGAAAAATGAATTCGTCGACAGTAGTAGGAAGAGAGAGAAGACGGAAAAAGGAACGATTCCGAAGACTTTTCTATCCCTATCATGGTCAGAATGGTCCCAAACGACCTCCGAAGTGGTTGACTCCATCAGATAGGGGCTCTCATGGGAGCTTTCCACGCCGAGCAAGAGTCTGAGTGAGGGAGAAGAGTCCCCGCGGGAACTCCTCATGTATCTCGAGTGCTTCAGCGGAGACCAAAACTTGGAGACTCGCGGCTCTGCGCGGAGGGAGCCGGGCACCAGAATGAGTTGGCGTGGAGTCGCGAAATCGGGGACAGAGAAGAATCGAGGACCGCACACCTATCAATACCGAGCGAATGCCCAGAAAACGCGTTCTGGGATCACGGGGAACACGCGAATCTCTGCCACTCGTTTCTTCATCTCGTTCTGCGGGAGCTGGTCGGAGGCGCTTCCTCCTTCCAAGTTTCATGAACACTGTCGCTCGTCAGCGCCTAAGTTTCTGTCGCCAGCAGTCAAAGCACAAGGCACTCAATCTGACGGATGCGCGAGGTGAAAGTCCGGTGGTCGTGTATTGTCAATGTTTTGCCTCGTTTTTCTGTACGAAACGCTTTCGAGAGGCACGCTGCCAACAAGCGGCGACTCATCGTCGGGCAGATGAGCGAGAATCCAGAAGAGCGACGAGGCACCAGACGATCATCAGTTGGAATGCTTGAGGAGCCCGGAACTCGAATGGGAGTCTCTCGTGAAAAGTGAAATGAAAATGCGGTCATGACGACAAGAAAAAAGGAAGTCTCGTTGTTGCCATCTCGATGAGCGATGTTGCGGCGAGAAGGTTTATCACGTGCCCAAGCAGGTACCGTATACTATATTCCCATTTTTTGATCCTGTCGACTGATGCCGTTCTCGTGAGCGCTTCCGTTGTATTTTCGTTCGCACCAGCTCTCGTTCCGACTGATAAGACTCGACTCTCCAGCTCCAGCAGACTCTCGAGAGAGAACAATTCCGACCGGCTCACAGTGTCGGACTCCTGCTGGAAGGTGAGCAATGAGTGGAGACGATTCCCAGGATGAAGACGATGCCCAACCTGCCTAGTCCGCCAAGCTGGAACATCCGTTCCATCAAGCCCAATGAGTTCGAGACACTCGAGGGAATCGTGAGGTCCTCACCCTCAGCTCGCCTTGGGAAGCGGCTCTCGCGGCAGATCATATCGCTGTTCCCCGGCCCTCTGTCGCAAGCGCGTGATGAACATGCGAATTATATGGAGCCCCCAGACGAGCCTGTTTTGCTCCCCGGAGATCGCTGGATCGAGATGAAGGGAGCAACTATCCTATGACTCGATTGAGAGGGTCACCATGAGGAGGAAGCCAGAGCTACGAGGAGAAAAGGGCCCGTTCTGTCGAGTTGGAGCCTAAATTCCTCATACCCTGCATCTATCGCTTCCAATACGCTCCGATTGCTCCGGATGTCACGACCGAGACGCGCGAATATCACCCTTTGACACTGATTTCGGTGGAGCCTCGAAATGCAGACATGCATTCTCCAAGCAACAGAGCTTCATCGTTGGCTCCAACGGATCGAGCTCCAAGGCTCTCTCTCGAGGAATCTTCGCAAGCTCCAAGTCTGTAGGATTGTATGGTTTCGGGGACGTCTACGCTCGGGCACTGATATATGTATGTTGCATACTGTGCATATTCCTATAGAAGGGCAGTCTCCGATAAAGGGGCAGGGTTTTGAGGATACATGAGATTCTCGGCCTGTATCCAATCGCCGGGCTTCTGAGGCTAAGGGTACGAATTCAAGTACCGTCGAGTATTCGATTGATTCCATGAAGTATAGCATAGCAGTATGTAGGAGTGAGCGTTATTCTCCATTGAGAGTGAGAGACGGAAAATAGACGCTCAGTCTCTGAGAGACGGGCGGGTTCTGGACCAGGGTTGGATCGAGGGATCCTCTGAGCTGGTCCAGGTAGGGGCGGGTAGCTGGATCCTGCTTTTATATGGGGACTATAGGAACTCGGAAGCCTCAAGATATACGGGCATGTCCTTCAACTGGAATATTCACGCTGTACATGCTCTCCCTGATTCAGAGCCTTGATTGATTCGAGATCGTTTGCAGATTCTCTCCTGGAGTGAAAGAAATTATTTTCTCCGTCGCTGCCCTCGAGATCATTGACGACTTGGTCACCTCCCACCGAGACGACAGTTTTGCGAGACTTGGCATCGTCAGCCGAAGAATGCTTTGCCCTTCTCGGAAGCGATCCGGTTTTGACGTGAAAACGTCTTTAATTTCACTCGGGGGTTAGAATCAATGTACTTCGTCCTCCATGCAGCGAAATTTGAGGCACTTTGCGACCCGATAACGCGTGATGTTCAGAACGGATCCAATTGCTGAACGCACCGATGGGAAGGGTAGGGTATCTGCCATTCAATTTCCGTGGTTATGCCTGACGGCTTTGAAGGTTTCCGGGAGCGATTCTGGATGCACCTGGAACTGTCCCAGATAGTGTATAAATACAGGATTTCCTCTGAAAATATTGATTTTGTTCGATATATTTGAGAAGCGTAGCGAATACTCAGATAAGCTCGACCAGCGGAATACAACTTATTGGGCTGGACCAGTCGATCAAGGGGACAATTCCCTGAGATTGATGGGGATCAGATCAAAGTCGCGATGCACGATATTTGGGATTATTCCGATCTCGAATTCCTACCGGGTCGCACGACTCAACAGTGGAGGGAACTCTCTCAAGGACAATCAGAAGCACTACCTCCCGGATGAACGGACAACGTGAGCTCAGCCTCCGCATAAGAGCGGCTCACAAATATTTTGCGATCGCGAACGACGATGCTATCGGCGAGGAGCTTTTCATTGAGTCGCTTCAACCCCGATACCCCGATTTCTCAAGCCGCGAGTTCAGCGGAGTTCCGGAGAGGCCTCACCAATAAATACTGAACAGTCGAATTATCTCGAATGCTCCGATATAATAGCTCCCGCTCGAACGGATACAAATCCGAGTCTGAATCATGAGCGCCTCCGACCTCTGGAGGCTTCCCCATTCCACGCTGTTTCGTTTCCTCGAAGATCCGCTTGGATTTACTCCCTTCGGCCACACTCTTGAAGCTGTTCTATCCGAAATCTGTGAGACTTTGATCATCCTCCGCGTTCTGTCGAGACCTTCGGCATAAAACTTCACTGAAGCCCTCGGTAGGTAGAAGGGGGGAGCAGTTCGCGGGAAAACTTCATCCCACGAAGAAAATACATACATCACACATGAGGCAAGCTCCCAGCAATTACTTGTTGGATCACGAAGGTCAGAAGGACTCTCAACCGAGAGGATCGAGCACGGCTATATGAATTCAATTGAACACCAACTACATGTACCAAAGGCATTCGCGGGATTTGAGGTCGTACTCAAATTGACGAACTTCAACGTCAATAGAGTGACATCGATGACGTAAAGGGGAGTGCTGAACACGCAAGACGCCGATCGGGCTGAAACTTTGGTCATAGAATCCCGCCCCGAGAGAAGTTCAGCCCTAGGACGTGTCCACAGTCATTCCCAGTTTTCTCATATAGTCAATGCTGGAGGGCGAATTCTCGATAATCATTTGATCACCTTCAAGGTGGCCGTACGCGAATAATCTCTCAGGGTCGAACTTCTCTTGGAGCGAGGATTCTACGACCAAAGTTTCAGCCCAATCGACGTAGTACTTGTTCAGCACTCCCCTTCTTAGATAAAATCAAGGTACATGCAATTCAAGGGAAGGCTAAAGGTATGTACTCGATGTCATTTCACTGCAGCTGTAGAAAGAACTAAGATTCGAGGTTGGATGAGGAATAGACGTTTTCACGCAATATCACGGTAGTGGCGTCGACACTACCTCCGCGTTTTTCCGTTTTTTTAGAGAGTCCGACGTTGGCGACAGAATCGCGGATCTATTCAGAATTCCACTCCAAGGAAGACCTTGTTTGAAGCTCCAGGAGCTACATGCGTCCGTCATCAGTTTGAGAAACGACATTCTTGAGGGTGCGGTCAACCGAGAAACTTTGCGCGCAACAGGGGCTACGAAAACTTCCGAGTTCGTCTGCAGTCTACGAGGTCGCCACTACGCGACGGCCTCGAACAGACCCAAGCTGAAGTCTAAAGTAGACTCCGATCCCGCTCAGTGGACTACGAATTTCATCGAACCATTATCTCCACGAGTTCGTTGCGATTCACTCCGACAGGATTCTGGCGAACCATCAATATACGAGTGCGGAAATGAGGTCCAGAGAGATCTCTAACATTAGAAAGGAGGCATCTCAACTACTGGGAGAGGCTCGTTCCCGGGAGCAAACTCGACGGACATGAGCTCCGGGGATTCTAGGGACGGTGGAGATATTGAATTATGTCGGGAACGGAATCCCGCACGTCATTCCCAGAGCGGAGATTCAAGCGAGACTAATGCCGGGATCTTACAGTTTCTTCGGTGCGCCTCCCTTGTCACCGCTGCTGAGGCTGACCAGGAGAATACATCCTTTGAAAGAAGAGAACGGACTTGTTCGGAGACTTCGCTGATCACAGACGAGAGATAATTGCTTCGAGCATTCAAGACTGAGATCGTGGCTCAATCAGATGTGCTCCGCAACGAGCCCGAGTGAAACTACCGATTGCAGTCGGAAGCGACTGTCATTCAACGGAAGGATTCGATTGCAGCTTTCAATACGACTCAGCAGCACGTACTTCCTTCTCGACGTCTTTGGAGGACGTACCGCTCGGCTCGATAACTACTTCAATCAGCTCCACTTCCAAGCCCCGCACCGAGGGCTGAAATCTGGTTATTCACTCTTCTCTCTCCAGGCGATACGGCCGCATCACCAAGAGGTCCTGGCTCCAGCATCGGTAGCAGTGGAGCGCAGCGCTGCGGAGAATACCCATAGCAACAGAATTCCGAGGCACGCAAGTCACGCATTCGACTCTACCCACTTCGATCGTTCATGATATCCCATCTTGGCGATGGGGTGGTAGGAGACTTGACCGGCGCCCTGCAATAGATTTTGGGCTCCCCAGATTCTGCGACATCGAAATGCATGGAGCGCTTGTTCTCAATAAGATGCGAGACTTTAGCCCGAAATCAGGATACATCGCTGAATGCAGGTGGTCTGCGCAAGGCCGTCCTCAAGGCTGAGCAGCAGCAACTCTTGATGTCGAAACTGAGAATCGGGGCGAGTTCATGTGCCCTCGCATTGTTCTGAAATGAGCCGGAACCGCAGGCGCGTATCCAGGATTTGTTTTGAGGGGGGGGGGCGTACGATGACTGCGGCCCCGAAAACTCGGGAATCGATTCAAAAAGGCGACAGAGGTAGTATGAAACAAACATTTTCGGGAAGGGCATCGGCTCCCAATACCCCCATGAATACGCGCCTGCGGAGCCGATCGCTCAGGGGGCGAATCGGCGAAAGAGGATTGTAGCTCACACTGAATATTTCGAGCTTCGTACCCCAAATGACCGCTCGGCCCTCCTGGACTACTTCCTCGGAAGATCATGCCAGCAATGCTGACTATCTGTGATGGGAATTTCTGAGGATTACGGGAGTTTTCTACCGGTCATGAAATCGTCGGCCACACGTCCGCGAGTATGATCGGTACAACGATCAGATTGAAAACACCCGATTGTTATTTAGCCCCCGCTTATTGGAACGAGTCGAGTCGTATTTCACGATCTCTCAGAGCGACATTCCGTCATTCTCCCTCCTCACAATTTCTGTCGATCGGCCCGAGTCTTATTTGACGGACCCTCGTCTAGCAGGAAATCGTTCCGAAGATCCGACAATGGTATGTATATATAAGATAGCTATAAAGGCTCCATAGGGGTTCCGCGCGAGGGAGACTCAGAGGGGCTTCACCAGGAGGAAGGTGTGGGAATCACTGCCCAGCCCCCCATACCCTTCACCATATGAACGGCGCCGGCGTCTGAGCGTCACGTCGTAAACTATGAAAGCTATCTTTTGAGCGAGCCCTACGTAACCGCCGTGACTGTCCAAGTGATTCTGAAAACTCTGTCCCTGGCTCTGAACCAATCGTGATGACCACATGGCCAGTTCTTTTTATTCTTTCCCTGTCTTAATCGCTCGCACATGTCAGGCGTACCATTCTCTTTCCTCCGAGTTCCAACATCTCCCATCAATCTCTGAGAGCGCCTGGGCCGCTCAGCTACAACAATACTCTACTAAAATCCAGATTCTACTATACAAACGCTAAAAAAGCGAGTATTCCCGCGAGACATTATCTTCATCGACACGATTTCGTCCACCAGAATTTTCCACACGGCACAGAGGATGTCCGGGAGGGAGAGGCGGGAGTCTGAGGAGCTCTGAACCGTTCCGACGCAGCGAGTGATTTACTTCAATTGCGAACCCGCTCGGCTGGATCGATGATGATTTTCTAATCAGTGTATTCCGGATGGGGAGAGCATTCAGAGCCAGGGTGAGAATCGACAATCTCAAAGAGACATGAACTTCACGAATCTCTGAAGCAAGTCCGATTGCTCTTCGAGTTCTTTCGCGCGCTGGAGACCCATAGTGACGATTCGCTGCGGGAGTCCGGCGAGTCTGGCGACATTGAAGCCGAAGCTCTTCTCGCAGTTACCCGGAACGAATTTGTAGAGGAACACGACATCTTCATCGTTTTCGACCACGCAAGCCATGTGACCGAGATAAACTCCTTGGATATCTTTCGCGAGATCGTGATAGTGAGTTGAGAACAACGTTCTCCGATTCGATTTCGAGAGTTCCGCCAAGACCGCGTACGCGAGAGACGCTCCATCGTTGGTCGATGTGCCGCGACCCAACTCATCCAGGAGCACCAGCGAATGTTTCGTGGCGTGTTTGAAAACTGCTGAAGTTTCTAGCATCTCAACGAGGAATGTCGACTCCCCGAGAGTGATGTGATCTGACGCTCCGAGACGGGTAAAGATTCGGTCTACCAGGCTGAACTCCATTTCCTCGGCGGGAACCCAAGCGCCAAGCTGAGCCATCACAACCAGCAAGCCCACTTGACGCATGAGCGTGGATTTACCGCCCATGTTCGGCCCTGTGAGCAGAGCCACAGAGCTCCCATCACATCTTCCTTCCTCGACGGTGCCCAGAGTGAAATCGTTGGCGATGAGCTTATCCTCCCCGAGTTTCTTCAGCAAACACGGATGACATCCATTAACGATACGGATTATGGCCTTCTGTGACTCGTGATTGATTTTCGGTCTGCAAACCGAACCACCAGCGTTGTTGCCGTAGAGAGCGAGGCTCATCAAGCAGTCCAGGTTGGAAAGGCACTCGATCACTTTCTTCCAGAGGGGCCTCTTCTCGTCGAACGCATGGAATATTCTCCTCATGAGATCTTTGCTCACAGCGTCGCGCATCTCTTCGGCTTTGATCATTTCGTCACAAAGACTTTTTCCTCGACGAGTGTAATAGCGTTTGAAACCTTTCTTGTGACCCTCTAGCGTATGATCTTCGGTAGCCTTCCCCGCAACGCTCTCGGGGACCTCTATCTGATACGCGGTACGACCCGTTCCTGTGTAAGAGATCTTCGAAGTTCCGAAATGTTTCATTTGCTGTTGGAGATGCTCATCGAGACTGTCCTTCACCTCGGCTACCCTCCTCTGAGCTTCATCGAACTCTTCGTCTACTCCAGGAGCGGGGACGATTTTCCCGTCCTTGAGCGCCTTCGTTTTATCGAAGGCCTTATCGAAGTAATTGAGAGCCTCCTTCACGTCGGGGAAGTGCCCTCCCTCCGTCGTCAGATGAGTCAAGTCCCTGAGAAGAGACGACTTGAGATCTTTATCGCGGACCAGCTTGCAAATCGCCTGGGCTTCTCGGAAGCCATCGAGAACGTTGCAGAAATCTTCGATCTTCCGTTTGGAATAGACGTCATCGCTGTAGAGTATCGCTCGAGAATCTGGATGGTCGGTCTGGAAACAGGGAACGTAAGTACAAGATAACGGGAAACATACGCTTTGACGATATATCAGTCTATCTCATGGGACAGGGCAATTCGATAACTTCCCGTTTCCCATAATTTTCTCGATTACTATTATATGCCTATTATATAACCTTCTTGAGACTCAGCGAATGTATCCTGGCCAGCATCTTATCCATGTCGGGCAATTTCTTCAGACGTTCTTGCAGTGTTTTCAACAGGGAGAAATTCTCCATCAGCTCTCCAACAGCGTCCCAGCGCGACTCGATTTCTTCGGAAACACACGATGGGCCAAGGAGCCATTTTTTGAGATGTCGGAGTCCTGGAGGGGAATAATTCCAAATCGATACATGATGCAGTCGAATTCATAGTCAAATCCGGCGCGTACGGCCGCGCGCTGATGAGACTCTCGATGTCGGTTTCCATGTTTCGCATTTTGCTGTCGATCGGAAATCCGAGCAAATCGACCATACGGAATCGAGCACATCTCACCGAATGCCGTCGAACAGAAATTGATTGTTGATATAAGCGAGCCCTCGGATGTCCCCACACTGTTTTCGAATATCTCTAAATTGGTCAACGCCACCGAGTCCATGATCATGATCTGAAGAAGGAAACAGCAGTCATAAGTCTTCGAAAATCTCAATATCGAGCGAGAGTTGTAGCTCCTGAATGCCCCCCTTCCCTGGAGATCATCCCTGAAAAGCCTTGAACGCGTCGCAGAAACTTGCCTTTGGCAGATAATCTCCCTTGCCTCCTTCGAACTTGAACTCTATGGTTTCGAATTCCACCATGGTCAGGACATCCTCGAGGATCAGAGCTTCCTGCAAACGACTTTTTCAAAAAAATCAAATGTGTCCGGATAAAGTTTGAAAGCTCTTGAATGTCCCGGGTAGCTCATACCGGAACGAAGTGAATAGAGTGTGTCTCCGCGGGTCGTAGGTACATATTCGTCAGCGGCTTCCCTTGCGTCGCGTAACCGTTGCGAGCTCGATATTTCTCAACGAAATTACAAAATGAAGTCCCTTACCCAACTATGCTTGCCAGAGCCGCAACCGCGAGCTCACATCCGGCTCTAGGAGTCGACATTAGGGGATCGTTCTCGGCAATGAGCCCTTTCAATGCCTGGGGGTATTCATTCCCCTAGAAGATGAAAATAAGAATGCTTCGACTCATGCTCTCAGATATGAGATTCACGCCATCACCGGTCCCCGAGTCGCTAAGTCTAGGCTTCCGTTGTCTGACCTCACCTTGAAGTAGTCTCCCTCGCGAATAAGCGTCAGAGCCTTTTCGGCCGATAGAAATTTATTTTTGGCTGGCTGATCTATAATAGCACCGATTGCCTCCACGATGCGCTTCACGTCGGCGCTGATGCTCCTCTCTAGAATCGCCTGCATTGAATTCGGGGAGGAGGGTATGAGACGGGGAAACCCACGGAGAGTATCTAGAAAACTTCATTCAAGTTTCGGCTTACCTCGACAGGTGCGAAACGGCTGATTAGGGTCCGGAGGCTGGACAACTGATGGTCATCTTCGAATTCACCGATGTGGAAGCGTCCAACAGTGGAATCCACAAGACACACTCCGAAACGTCTTTCCTGGAAAGATGGGTAGCCCATCAGCGCTTGATTTGAACAGATGTCTTGGTCCCTATAAGGATCAGGACAGACGATCGTATTGTCCGGATAGAACTAACTTTGCTGAAGAGGGCGAGGCAATACGAGCTCCCGGGGACTGCATCCGCTCCGCACAACTGCAGTCCTTTGGAGGAGACATTGCAAATCTCACGCCTCACAACTTTGTCGAATTTCGAGGATTTGCCTGTTGATGGGATGAAGTGAAGACACGGAAGGATGAGCCAAAAACATCAAATGAAGCAATCGAAGTCAACAGATCCATTTCGGGTCCGGTAACCCCGCAATCCAGAGAAACGAACCCGAAGTTTTACAGCGTTGTTCCATCATCGACGGAGTTTCGGTCTGCTCAACCCGAGCGCATTTATAACCCTTCTGGATAAGTGCTTCCATGTTGCGTTGAAGCGCCACTTCCGGGAATCCAGAATGAGCCCAGTCCCCCTGCAATGGTGCAATGAAAGATTTTTCGCTTCATCGGTCGTAGCCGAGGTGCCTGAAGGCATTCAGGTGACACGCAGACGGTAGGAGGTAGCGCTAGGGAAAAAGAGAAGAAACTCACTTTCATGTAAGTCAGACCGAGGTTCTCAACTCCAATCACGGCATCCATGTGGTACAGCTCGTAAAATTTTCCGACTTTGAAAAAGAGCACCGTGTCGAAATGTCGGGACTTGAGCTCCCACCATTGCCGCACGCCCTGTGCAATCGGAAATCACTCAATCAGTAACTCGTCAGACTGCCGGTCGAGGTCGCACCATATATCGTCGCGCGAGATGTGTGACCCACCGGAGTTAGGCTGTTTTTGAAGCTGTTGGGCACGTGTAAAGTCGACGGATCGTAGTCCGCATCGCCGATTTTCTTCCCCGACAGATCTTTTGGCTCTTTCAGAAATTCGTAACTCAGATGCAGCCATTCCGATGGGTTCCCTGCAATGAAAAAATTTCCATCGTACGCCGACTCCACACTGGAAACGACGAAAACGATCCCTCTTCGAACGGGATTCTACCTGCGAGTTCCCGTCGGGTAAACCAGCGTGCCACACATCGATTCCTCGATGGAGATTTCATTTCTTTGCTTGCTCGTCTTGACCTCCAGAGCTCCCAGCATGTTTAGACCAGAACGACGAAGTAAAAATTTTCAACTTACGACTAACAGATTGCGCCAATGAGGATGACGGTGTTTTCGGCGTCGCGGGGGCTTTGGCCGGAGTTCTTTGGGCGCGTCGAGGGGTCTGAGATATGGAGAGTAGTTTGAAATAATTCGAGATATGAAAAGGAATTCTTCAGATCATTATGGCCTCCTCCGCGGACGAGGTGAATTTCGAAGGTTTCCTTTTCGGCTCGGAGTTTCGACAGACCTTCTTGACGGGCGAATCCAGTCCAGATCCGTCATCTTCTGACGGCGTGGTCACTTCTCCTTCAGATTCGACATCATCGTTGTAACTTTCTTCTAGATCGCTCTCGTCTTTTTTCGGCTCGTAGTCATCGCCCGAAGAGACGTCTTCCTCCTCAGACTCCAGTGGGTCCGACTCCATCCAGTCCTCCTCTCCGGAATCCTCTTCGAGTCTCGCCCGTTTCAGCTAGGTAGATTCAATGATAAGCGCGCCGTCAGGGATTTCCGCAGCTCTATGAGACCTATTGAACCGATTCGTATGGGCCGGATTTCGCTTCCTGAGGAATGAGCTCGGCATGCTCAGCAGAGCGACGGCCGCAGATACTCGATAATTACCTTGGGTTTGACTCCATTCTCTTGTTTGACAGGTTTCCGCTTGCTCGCCGAGCCCTTCTTCCCAGAAGCCGTGAGACTTTTACGGCTCTTCGGGGTATTCGTCGGTGAAGAGGAGCTCTTGGCATTCTTCGAAGCTGTCTTCGGTGTGCTTTTCGAGTTCGCTCTTTTTGGAGTGACGGAATTCGTAGCCGACGACTTCGGTGTAGAGTCATTTGATGCTCCAAGCAACCTACGGCTTTTCGGTGTCCCATCCTTGGACGTGGAGGGCGAGTCGGCGCCTCGGTCTACGGGGTCTTTATTTTCGTCATCTGTACGCAAAACAGGTGTCCGATTCGCAAACTCATGCATTACAGAGTCGCACGAGTCTCCACCGTGATTGGCAATACTCTAGTGACTCCGGAGAACTATACTAGATGACGTCCGGGTTCTACTGAAGTCGAAGAATCCCATTGAATTCTCTGAGAATCGCGCATATTTCTGATCGAGGAATCGCCGAGGGAGTATAATCGAATAGACAAAGACCCCGATGGGAATACTCCTCAGAAAAGCTTTTGCCTCGGTATTCTTGATCCTAGAGTTATGCCCGGAGTGATCACTGAACCTTCGGTCACCCCATTGTCGAGCAGATCTTGTTTAGTACGCAAGCCTCCACCCACCTTTATTCCGTCCAGGGCTCTCAACCTTTGAAATAGCCAAACAGAGTGCCCTTGTTCATGATTCACAGCTTTAGATGATAGTAATCTCCAACTATCCACAGGGACTCAGTGAGCGAGCACTGAGTCTGGCGATTTTCCGACGAGACGCTCCCCAACACTTCAGTATACATTCAGTCGTCGGAAAACAGCGGAAGCGCGCGCGACTGGTCCTCCATCAGATACCATTCTTGAGGAGCGCGCCAAAATTCAAATTACCAGCCGGCTTCAGAGGCATCGAGGTTTGTCTTCGAGCCTAAAGAACCGTACGCGAGAGGAGAAAAAATGCTCATCGGGTCTATGGACCCAGAAAAACTACAACGCTACTCTCGAGGCGCCGGATGTCCAGCTGATTGCATGCCCGATCGCTCTAGGCCTAATCCGAGAACGATGGTTCTGCTACAATTTCTCTGGCCCAGAATCCACGAAGACCTGAGCAGCAGCATGAGGATGAATCAACTGCTCATCAAATCCCCGCTCTGCTAGTCTGCTAATGATATCTCTCAGGTGTTTTCGCCCAACGACGTCCGACAAGTCCTTTGAGCGGAATGATCTTATCATGTAGAAGGTGGCGAGACCCGGGGGTTGGGGACCGATTGGGTTACAGATCGGGATACCGGATCGGGTTCAAATGTGAGCCATCGCGTGACCGTTTCCAGAGGTATCCAAAGGAAGTTTTCAATCTGTTTCTTGGCCCGAGCTCGAAGGAATGGAGATCGAACTCCCCAACGGATCAAATCGATCCGACCATTCATAGTGAATTCCCAGCCATCGTGATATATGCAACTTCATTTATTCTATCATCGATCCCGAATTAGGCATCCGGGATACTCGTTCGAGGATTTCTATCCCCGCAAGGTATCCGATTGTCCGTCAATGTCTCTCTCGAGAATCACTCCAGAACTCAGGGAATATATTTACAGGTCGCGTTCTGAGCTCATCGTTACCGGGAATGCATCTCCGTGCGCTTTACTTCATTTGCTGCATGATGTAGTTGAGGAGTTTCTGTGTAACTTCCATCGGGGACACGATGCATCCGTCGAAATGCCGTCCGCATTCCGCATCGTTGCGGCGTCCGTAACGTGCTGCCTGCTGATACTTCGAGATCAGGGGCGCGTCTTCACTCTCGCCAGTCAGGTAAGGCCTGGGGAGAGAATGAACGCTCTCATTTCTCATCGCCTTGAAGTCGTGAGGGCGCCATTCGGATCAAACTGAATCGGAGCCTTAGCTGCTCACGATCAACAAAGAATAAGCATGAATTCAAGGCGAAACTCCGGGAAATCGATCAGCATAACATTCTGGAGAATGAGAGAGCATCGAGTTCTTCTTTCAATTCACCGATTCGGCCCGATCCACCTGAATTGTAGATATACATCCCTCGAACTAGCGAGGATGGGCTCTTCCCGTCGGCGGTTCACGAAAGAGCTCAGACATTTGGGATTCGGCTCGAAACTCCTCTCACTTACCGCGACTCCGTTTACAACTGGGGAAAAAATCCAGCGGAAGTGTTACCTTAGCGTTTCACTCATTTGAGAAATAAACTTACGGGAATATCAGCTGGAGCGCTAGTCCCACAACCCCGTAACGGTCTGGTTGATTGTGAGCTTCGCAGACGGATCTCTTCATACATTCCTGGGGATCGAGACTGGGAATGGACGGTATTGCCTCCATGGACCTGTTTTGACATAAAGGTGGACTTAGATGGGGAAGGCTCGAGACTGCTCTATCGAACGCCGAGTGTCTACGCCGACGGCTCGCTTGAGGGATGGCGAACTCACCTCTCAACCGCTCTCATGACGACTTCAGTTATCCCGCTCAAACCTCGACCCGTGGCCGCGAATTGGGCTACAGCCCTGTGCAAGCGTCCCTGAGCAGCGATTTTCCGCATTTCGATCTGATTATCGTTGACGTATGCGCCTTGAGCTCCCAGAATGAGAGCGAGACATATCGAGAGAACGTTTAGCATCATCTGAAAGGGCTAAACAAATGAGGATCGATTTTTTTCCGAGAAGCTTGATAAAACGGCAGACCGGACCATCAATTGAAACAAATGTCGTGTTCCCGTCTCGAAGCTCAGTTTCTCAGCGAGCGTCAACTGTCGCGCTTCGAATGAATTTCGAGAGCTCGTTCATTTTCTAGCTCGGTCTGACGGCAGGTGACTTTCGACGAAGCTGAAGGAAGGTCTGGGTGATCGAACCGAGGAGGAATTCGACTCCTCCGGACCCATAAAAGACTTCGAAAGTGAAACTAGAAGGATTCCTGGCTCCGAGAGCTCCGAATACTTTCTCGAAGCTCAAAGAGAGCAATCGGTTCCCTCATGACCGAGTTTCTGAAAAACCTCCACTCTCTGCTGTTGTAAAACGGCTGTGTAGCCCCTGATGTCCGATTCCACTGAGTGAGAGTTTTCGGCTTCTAATTCGGGTCTCCGATCGCAGAGAAAAGATGAGAGGTCCCGAATAATGAACTCGACTCAGTCCGATCTGGGGATGGATTCAAAAACTATTGCTATTTCCCCTCAGACCTCAGATAGAGACTGCCAGCTTTATCAGAGATGTTGGATAGCACTCACTCAATCGGTCTTTGAAAGCAAGGCAGAAAGTCCGCGGAAATAGGAGTTTTTTTCCGCGCGTAACTCACCCTGCAGAGATCGTTAGCACTAAAATTGCCAAGGGTCAATATCCTCTCCCACAGATCTGTCGGTGTCAGAGCAGAGAAAACACACCTGTTTGGCGGAATTCCGCACTCTTCGACAACATTAGCCAGTCGAACTCTGGGTCACATCGAGCCATCAAGACAAGTCTCCTGTCAAGCAGCCTTGCTCCGTCGAAGATCGCGGCCCTTCTTGTCACGGGGGAACCCAACAAGTACAGGGTATACAACAAGCTTACAGGGGTATTATCACAGCTAGTCTTCGGAAAGTCACCTCGGTTATTCGCCCCCTGACTCTGTCAGAGCGGGACCACTTTGTTCGGAATAGAACATTCGATTTTCGGCGGTGGAGACGAGCATGAGGAGAGCAACGGAATTCGCGAAGTGAGCTCGCAGAAATAATTCAAGACTCACCTTCCAGGAGGAATGGCGAATTGTAGCGAGTGAAACTTCTTCACCGACTCCCAACTCGTGGGTTTTTCCTCGTTACCGTGCGTTCGGTTTCGCGGTCGAGCCTCGAAAACGCGAAGAGTGACACGGGGTCCACTCCGCGGGATACTGTTGAGAGGCCGCTGGCGCTGCTTCAAACGGATGAAGAGGACTTCAGGGGGTGGGGGGTTGCCGATTTCCTACTTGCTACTGCTGCTCAAAGTTCTAAGTCTGAAGCTGGTGCAGCTCAGGTCGTTTCTCAGGATGTGTTGCCTCTCTGGATCCGACGTCGGTCTTCGGTAGCTGTCTGCCGCGGTGGATGTACCGCTAGGTATTCTGTTCCCTCACTCAAAATCTTCTGGTGAGGAGTGAAGCGAATGCCGCCGCCGCTGCGGACCATGTCTGATACCATCGACTGCTCTTTTCCCGTGTCTTCAACATCAGAGAACATAATGCCCGCCGACTGTTTCTGCCGGTCATGATGGTTGACATTATTGAGATAAAATCGATTCCAGTTAGAACCATGACGCGCGCTTATGACTAGCGAGGGAATGAAATTGACATGGGGGCGAAAACTCTAGCTCGCTTGAATCCGGAGAACAGAACTCGATTACAATCAGTCGGTCTGACGCACCTGACTTTGAAGGCAGGAAAAAGCCTGAGCCCGTTGCCTTTCGAGGAGCTAGACGCTTAATAGAATCGTAACGCCGTCTGAATTGAATAGAAGCAAGTCCCAAATATTCGGTGTTACATTTGTAAGCTCGACCGTACACGAATGATTCATGCGGACCAATTCGAATGACTTCCAAGGAAATACATGGCCAGTGAAGGAGAGCCTTGGAGTCGATCAAAAATATCGTCGGATCTACCGGACGGCAAGTTCAAGTTTTGCTCCCAAGTATGTCCATAATTGACCGTGCACTGACCCAGTTCGAGAGGCCCTGGAGGCTAAGGGTTGTCAGCAGACTTCTCACCGATCGGCCTGTATCTCGATCCACGAGCGAGGATTTAGTTCTGTGTTCCCCGCTATCTACTATACTTCGCCTTTCCCTACCACTCGATTGATCACTCTACCCGATTCGGGAAAGAGACCACACGATTCGACATGCCATGTCTTTGACTCCAATTGGAAATTTTAACCCTCTCGTTGCCATTCCATGTTAGCGAAGGAGTTCTTTTTTCATTCTTTACACCACCGATATGAATTTGCACAGAATTCTTAGATATCCACCGATCTCGAGTCAGGAAATCTTACACGAATGCGGAATTGAGAGACGCATATAAGTATGTACATACATCCATATCAGAGCTCGAATAATGAGTTACACTGACGACCTTTAGCGGGGGGTAGCTGCGATTTTCGTCATGTCACTTGTCGGAGGCCTGAGGCATCCTGTAAAAATGAGGGAATGTAATTGGACCCCTCATAAGAGCCACGGGGAAAACCAGGACCTCCAAGCACGGAGGAATGGGCTCATCGAATCCCTCGTCCCCAGATCCGGTCGGCTGGCTCAAGACTCAGGACCTCAAATTATAAGACCTCCGACCTTCTCGGACGTCCAGAACCGGTAGCGTGCCTGATTAATGCGCTGACGATGTCAGCGCTATGGGTACAAAAGGGAAAGCCATCAATGAGCTAGGAATTATCCCCGCCTTATCGGAACGCTCGAGGAGTTTCGATTAAGAATGCGCCCGCGACTTTCTTCTCCGTATGATACGGCTACATCGTCGATTAAACAATGGTCGTGAGTTTATCGTACTATGATGGAGACGTGCGTAACGTTTGTGACGCATGCAAGCGGGTTCGATGGAGCCGGACCGTGGACAATGAAAATAGATAATCAGCTGGCTCCACCTCCTATTATCTTTGTGTAGTAGTCGCTAGGCTCTAGGTAAAGGCTCTAGGGCTTTCTTAGGGGATTTTATCTCTCACCGGTCCAGAAGCACCTGGATTCGTCACGATAATTAAGCGGCGCCTTACCTGAGAACTGAGAACATTGGATCTGGCATCACCCGGCTATATCCAGTATATCACCTTCCGGAATATCTGAGAAGAAATTCGTTTCCTGGAGATCTCCCGGCAGTTCTTGCGTCTCTGCCTCACACAGAATCCGTGCGCCTAGCCTCTCATGCTTCGCGATCAGACTGTCCGCGAGTGAGCTATTTCTATCATCCCAGTGTCGGGGTAGGTCTTCAATTATCGCCAGGACCGGAAATCGAGGTAGGGCTTATTCTCGGTGGAGGTCTTATATTGTGGGGAACACGGTGGCTTGGGGTGCCGAATCCCTATCGGAGCAAGGAGATCTTCTGTCATCGAGTCATGTGAAGTCGAAACGAGCGCCTCGACTCTCTTCTCTCTCCGGCCCACCACAAGAGGGCTCACCGACCTATGACGCGCATACCAGATGCCGGCGTTGGGACGGCCGTGATCAGAGTAATCTTCTCCAACGAAAACGTTAACCTCGAGAACCGCTTCCCGGCTTGCCCTTCCTGTAGTGGATGCAGGATTCGAACCTGTGACCTCCTGCTCGACAGAACGTCGTGTCTCCAGAGAGAGATGCCGCTGCCAATCGGTGAATGCCGCGCAGACTACACTAACCTTGTCGTCGACAAGAAATTCGTCGACTTTCTGCAGCAAAGCCAATTTGTCGGATCGGTATCGCAGATCCTGGCCGAAAAAAGGGCAGTCCTCATGCGCATACTGTGGCTCCCGTGAAGCCTTGCTTTCAACTGATTTCTGTGCTCTCTGGTGGCTGCGGCGGCTCTCATCCGCGCTGACTGGTGAAACCAGCTGATGTTTGGAGGGTGTAACTCCGCGCCGTCGACGCGGAGCGACGGCGCGCTGCCATGGTCCCCGTTTTTCTTCACTTATTCGATTCTCCTTGGGAGGAATGGATATGTTCATTGCCCTGATATCATGGATCAGGCGGATCTCTCAAATCGCTGTGTGAAGTACCGAATAAATGCTCTAAACTCTAAATAAGCTCCCAATTCATGTCTCCTAGATCTCTGTGTTCATTGGTATTCAGTCTGTAGGTTGAGGAGCGCCAGTAAGCGTGGGCAGGAGCGGAGGAAGTCGGCGTCTCTGAATGTCGCTTCGAGATCCGTGAGACAATGAGAATTAGGCTTGAATGCGTGTCGTATCGTGTCCTCTACCGAATGCGCGAGCGCTCCCGGAGGCCTAATGAGGTGGGCTCGCTTGCCATCCTCGAAGAAGTCGGACTGCCCAGGCCCTTCGAAGGAGTAGAGAGGCCAAGTTGGACGAGAGCATCACCTGACAAGGAAAGTCTGGGGATGCCCTCGGGAGTCAACGAGATGAGTTCGTCCACTCGACGAAGATCGCTCGTGGCTCCAAACGCCGGGCTGGTTCGGAGCAAGTACGTCAGCCTGGGCACTCCACCGGATCGCTGCAGGATCTGGCTTGCGACATGAGAGCCCTCGTGCGAGCTAGTCAGCGTTTGAATGTAAATGTTCTGGACTTATTCTCCAAGCTTTCCGTGACTCCAGCTCCGGAGACGGGAGAGCCGGGGATCTGCACGTCGCATTCGTCCTCGATTTGGTGGTGACCGGGTTGGCAGTCCCGAATCCGGCGGAGGGCGTACTCAGGCTCGAAAAGCTCTGCACGAAGATCTCGCATTTCGAGGGTCGGATATCGGACGTCGCGGCGTCGTCAGCGGGACAGCCCATCGAGACCTCAGAGACAAGGGATTCGACGGATCAAATTCTATTTGTTGTGGAGGAGTTAGCCCAATGTTTCAATATCTCTTTCCAGGGATCATTCGATCGAATGATCCATCGATCATTCTTGGGGCAAATATCCGGAGTGAACCGGTAATCGCAAAGAATGAAAGAACCTAAAATCGCTCAATCGATGGGCGCAGCGCGCGCCGCGCATAGGACAGCAGGGCTGATAGATGATATCTAGAAATACGATATCAAGCTTCGACAAAGACCATCTACAGTCCTCCCTTCTTTCTTCATCGAGATCAATCTTGGACCTCAATAACTAGATTGAGGGGGAGTTCGCACCCTCGTGCACTGCTATGCCGCTGGTCTCATAGGTTGGGAGATCCGGGAGCAACCAAAAGATATTCTAGAATCTAGAAAATCTTCCTCTTGTGAGATATTCTCCCGAAGTAACACCCTGCTCTCCAAGCTTGCGGCTGTCCTCGATCTCGGAGCTGATCCTGACGAGGCGCTGAGCTTTCACACGCATTCCGTTGGCATGGTCAAGAAATGCTCCTCGGCTCTGATTCCTGCGTGGATCCTGTGAGCTTCCTCAGTTCGTTATCTGGATGACGTACCTGAGGCTTTACGATTCTCGTGATGCATCCCTTAGTATAGCTGTCAAGTTTGGTACCTTGGCACTTGGCACTGCTCGAAATCGGAAGCTCTAGTCAAAGGTGCTAACAATATCTACCCGTAGAGTGGGAAATCGCTGTCGCATCCCCTCGAGATCTGTCGTTTTTCCTTCTATGTTCATATAGATTCTGTTCGTCATCAGAGACTTCTCTAGAGATGTGGCTCGACGGCGACCCCTCTCCCGGCGGAATCAATGAATGAAGAGTGTCCACGCTGAAAGCTCCGTGATCGCCCTCGGGGAACATGAAGTAAACACTCAAGGGCAGCCCAAAGTCGGTAGGTTCGAAGCAGCATAATGCCGCAAACTCTCCGAAGTTCTCGGTATGCACCTTTCTCGACCGAGCTTGGTCGAAGTGCTCCGTAGATAGTCAGGCTCGAGAATTTCTGATATTCAAATAAATCTGCGAGGCAAATATATCTGATGTCAGCTTAGTCCGGGCGATAGAATCGAAGTCGAGGTAGGGACCATGTCTTGTGATCCGAAAGTCACAGGTGAACATGCAGTCAGCGGGGTCGGTGTTCGATCTAAGGAGAAGGCTGCATGGGAAAGTTTCACGCCATTGTCCGAGGAGATCGCTAACAGGTGTAAGATTGATGATCAGCTCTTCTCAATGAGTCTTAAAATCTAAGGATAATGGAGAAATCCGCTGCTGATCAGAGGACACACAAACGGAGCCTCCCGCTCGCCGCCTGCTCTCTTGCGGAGAATAATGTCTTGCGGAGAAGACATTATGCCCGCCTTCTTGCTCGTATCGA